AAAAACGATACCACCGCAGCTCTATCATAGAACATCTGAGAGATTCCGTACACCAAGCTACACCGCAAACAAACTTCAAAGTCGTCTACAGAATACGAAGCAGTCTTCCTAAAGGTATACGAATCAGACTTCTTCAAACTGAAAAAGCAATGGCGATTCACTTGCTAAGCCCTGAACTCTGCATACAAAGAAGTTCGTTCAATCACTACACTTGCAATGGACGTAATCTGTCTTATTACCCGACAGGTAAATTCTATTTCTTTCTGTCTCTTCATTAGTATTATTTTGTCTTTATAATTGTAATATTTTACATTTTCAACCTTCTTGTTCTCTACCCCAAATCGATTTAATTTCTACACCTCACTGTTACTGAATTGACCAACGCTCAATTTCTAGTCATTTATGTTACGTCATCCAACTTATTTGCTCAATTTCAGTTCTAATTTAAATGGCATTATTCCTTACCCCACCTCTACTTAGTCTCTACTCGTAATTACCTCTGTTGCTACCCTGACCTAAGTTGAAACATTTTAGTCAATTATATTACGTTTTTCTCAATCTAATGTTCCAATGGGTATTTTCCACGAATTATATTACGTCATCTAACTTACTAAACCTCGCCTAGATTACTAGGTCACTAGTATTCTAGCCGGTCCCAAGCCCGGATAAAGAGGGAGGGTTGGGGCGTGGTGCTAGCAACTCCACCCCCAAAACTTAACCAAATTGCTACTAAAACTTCAACGCACAAATATATTCAAAATTCTAAAATTACAAATAGTGACCTTATTTTTCGCTGGAATCGGGGAAGTGAAATGACGCGGGCTGGTGAAAGCCTTCGGGAAGCCAGTCAGCCGATGTGCCTTCTTTCGATGAAAGCGAAAATAAGGATGGGGACGTGGAATATTCGTACAATGTACGAAGCTGGGAAGGCTGCTCAGGTAGCCGCAGAAATGAGGAGATATAAAATAGAAGTGTTGGGAATCTGCGAGAGCAGATGGAACAGATGTGGAAGGTGCCAACTATCAACTGGAGAGACAATAATCTACTCCGGTCACCCAGAGGACGATCACGAGCACACCGAGGGAGTAGCCATCATGATGTCACCAACAGCGGCTAAAGCTCTCATGCAGTGGGAACCAATCTCCTCCAGGAAAATGACAGCCAGGTTCAACTCAAAAGGAAAAAAGGTTACAATCATTCAGTGCTACGCGCCTACAAACGCCTCAGAACATGAGAAGAAGGAGGATTTCTACAGTCAACTACAAACAGTAATGGACAACGTCCCAAAGAGCGATATCAAAATCCTGATGGGCGACATGAATGCGAAGCTGGGAGGAGACAATACAGGAAGAGAACTCACCATGGGTCGTGAGGCCCTCGGTGAAATGAACGAAAATGGCGAACTCTTCTCAGACTTCTGCGCCTTCAATGATTTGGTGATTGGTGGCAGTGTGTTCAAACACAGGGATATACACAAGGCAACATGGATTTCACCAGATGGACACACCAAAAACCAGATAGACTTCATTTCAATCTCAAGGAAGTGGAGAAGGAGCCTACTGGACACAAGATAGAGGAGAGGAGCAGATGTGGGTTCAGACCACTATGTAGTACAAGGGACTTTCAAGGTGAAGCTGAAAGCCTCGAGGATACCTGGGGATAGGCCACAATGCAAGTTCAACACTCACAAACTGAAGGACACAATCACACAGGACATTTTCACTGCAACTGTTAGAGCAAAGCAGGGAACACTACGTGGCATTACTGAGGAATCATGCGTGGAAGACCATTGGAACTCTCTGAAGGTAATTTTCAACGAGACGTGCTCAACGGTTTTAGGAAGAAAGAAGAAACAAGACAAGGAATGGCTCTCAACAGACACTTGGAAACTAATAGAGGAGAGGAGAAAGGTGAAAGAAAAAATGATTCAATGCAAAGATGGACAAGAGAAAGAGACGCTGAACTCAACTTACACAGCACTGGACAAAGAAGTGAAGAAGAGTGCCAGGAAGGACAAAAGACAATTCTACGACAACCTGGCTACTGAAGCTGAAAAGGCAGCAGGCAAAAGGGACCTGAGGACACTATATCAGATAACCAAGTCTCTATCCGGGAAGAGATCAACACAAGTGAAACCTATAAAAGACAGCCAAGGGAACCCAATTACCAAAGAAGAAAGACAGATTAAACAATGGGCGGACCACTTCAAAGGACTCTTGAATCGACCACCACCTACAACCCGTCCAGTAATACCAACAACAGCACGTACACAACTGCAAGTTGACACCAATCCCCCAACGAAAACTGAAGTCATGAATGCAATCAAGCTTCTGAAAGCTGGAAAAGCAGCTGGACCAGATGGAATACCCCCGGAAGCACTGAAAGCGGACCCAGAAACGACGGCAGATATGCTGACTCCATTATTGCAAAAGATCTGGAAAGAGGGAAAGGTGCCTACTGACTGGAGGAAAGGTCACCTGGTGGAACTACCAAAGAAGGGCGACCTAGGACTCTGCAAGAACTGGCGAGGAATCATGCTCCTGTCGACGCCAAGTAAAATCCTGAGTCGCATCATCCTGGAGAGAATCAAGGACGCACTGGATACAGAACTCCGACCAGAACAAGCCGGATTCAGGAAAGGCATATCATGTTCTGACCAAATTGCAACTCTACGCATTATCATCGAACAAAGCATGGAATGGCAATCAAATCTCTACCTCAACTTTATAGACTTTGAGAAGGCCTTCGACAGCGTTGACCGCGAAGTAATTTGGAAACTACTCAAGTACTACGGCGTACCCCAAATATTCATCAACCTTATTCAACAGCTGTACGACAACGGCACATGTCAAGTGATCCACAAGGGAAAACTCAGCGAAGCGTTTGGAGTAAACACAGGAGTCAGACAAGGGTGCTTATTATCACCAATGATATTCCTAATTGTGGTGGACTGGACTGGATTATGCGTCAGACAGTGGGAAACGAGAAGACAGGGATATCCTGGACCGATGTGAAGAATCTAGAAGACCTGGATTTCGCGGATGATTTATGTTTGATGTCACACAAAATCGAAGACTTACAAGCAAAAACCGACAAACTGATCGAAGAAGCAGCAAAGACAGGACTCCAGGTGAACATAGACAAGACGGAGGTCATGAAAATAACCAACCAACAACAGTAGCAACATCCAGTGCCAATCACCATCAACGGGAGGGATTTGAAAGAGGTTACTTCTTTCACTTATCTGGGGAGCATTGTCTCAACCACAGGAGGAACGGACGAGGATGTCAAATCGAGAATCGGGAAGGCGAGAAACACATTCATCAACCTGAAACCAATCTGGAAATCTTCGTCACTCACCATCAACAACAAAATTCGGATTTTCAATACAAACGTGAAGTCAATTTTGCTATACGGATCAGAAACTTGACGGCGGGTCACAAAGAATATTTCCAACAGCCTGTTGCAGACCTTTATCAACAACTAACTGTCTTCGCTCCATACTGAAGATTAGATGGCCAGAAAGAATCACAAACAAGAAGCTATGGGAACAAACGAAACAGGAACCAATCGCCCAACAAATATGCAGGAGGAAGTGGAGATGGATTGGACACTCGCTGAGGAGGCCGTTGAGTGACATCGCGCGTCAAGCCCTCGAGTGGAACCCGAAAGGGAAGCGGCGAGTGGGACGTCCAAGGGTGACATGGAGATCGTGTGAGGAGGAGATGAAACAGTATGGAATAACATGGACGCAAGTGAAAAGTACAGCACAAGACAGAAGCAAGTGGAGACGTGCAGTTGAAGCCCTATGTTCCACTAGGAACCCAAGGGAACAATAATACAATAATAATCTAACTTACTAACTCAATCTTACTTTAGTTGCTGTCTAATTAACCTTGTTTCTATATTAGATCATTCTTGTATTACCTGATTAATTAGCTAAACTTGACAAACCTCATGTACACACACACAAATAATTATATATAAATGCGATTGTACAGCTATGTGAATGAATTCGCCGTCGAAAAGAATCTCTTCGCTGAACGTCTTCTCTTTTTCATATGGTAAATCCCTGAACTCTGTATACAGAAGGAGAAGAAGTTTGTTCAGTCATTCAATCTACAATGGACTCAATGTATCTTAACACCGTATATGTCATTTTTAATTGTATTATTTTCTTCCCTCACTCCCTATTAAATCTCTACCCCTTTTAACACTGTTGTAGGCTTGACTTTTGTTCAATTTTAGTTGAATTCTACTCACACCTGTCAATCATATTACGTCAGTCAGTTTACTCATTTAATTTTATCTTCATTTTCTACCCGATTAACACTTTCTATATTACGTAATTTGTTACCTAAGAAGAAATTTACAATCTGTATGAAATTGGTGTCTCTCAAGACCATTTAAATCACTGTGATGTCTTTTCAGCCAGTTGGTTCAGGCCAGTAAAATTTCTCCTATCCAAGAGCTGTCTTCTTTTCTTCCTTATATTTTGATTTGACACTAGTAACTAGTGTGATGGCGTCTAGTCCTCTCTTTGGTGCAGACTGATAGTTGTGCCACATTCTAGTAGCTCACCATCACGTGTACATTGATTGTGATGATATTAGGCGTATCTGACTGATGGAATTGTTGCAGATACGCCTTGCTGACGAGCGCCAACTAGCACGAAACCTAGGTCCAAAGCTTGCTGCTGATTGCCTCCAACCATCTGATTTCTTCCTTGTTTCACATGTCAGTAGTATCGTGACGTGATAGTTATCGTTGTGAATAGTGATTAGAACAGCAGGCACACAAATCTACTCGGCAGGAAAGTTTATGAACTCAAGAGACTAGTAAACTACTAAGGTTGTACTGACGGTCATATCAACTATAGAGAATGTATTTTAATCTTCCTATCAACGTCATCACCATCAAACTAAACACACAAATTATACTTAATGCAAAACAAACTAACTAAGAAGAATATAATCAATAAAAAAAATATGTACACCTACTTTTAATTTAGACATAGCTTCTTGTGTAGTTAAATTGCTAAGATCTAAATTTGTTTCAGGTGTTCCTTCATTTGCCATATCAGAGGAAACTTCAACATCTTGTGACCAATCATTGATTGGTGCCAGTTGGATAGCTAATTCAACTGCTTTTTTTGTTGCTGCTTCAACTTCATCCAATCTTGCTTGAACATCTACATTGGCCAACTTGTCTAGACGTTCACCAGTAGCACGAACAGCCGCCATTACAGCTTCAGCTTGAGCCATATCCCCTTGACCAGCATTAGCAGCTGCTATTAATTCTTCAGCGGCTTTTAAAGCTTCCTGTTTGAAACACACACAGAGAGGGGAATGCAAAAAGTTAACATTGAAAAGAGGCAAAATGAATTAAAAATACTTTAGAAAGTTAAATTTAAAGTACATCGGTGGATCAAGGGTGAAATGTCTGCTAGCCACGTGCATAGTCTCAGTCGATGCCCTCCTAAGTCCCGCTAAGACGTTAGCTGTACTTGAGGCTAGCGACCTGACCCCGCAAAATGACAAGTACTACTGAAAGTTCGAATCTTGAAGCCGTATGTTCCCACTAAGAATGCAAAGGAATGGAAGAAGTTAAAACGAGTTTTCTAAACACTAGGCCATTGAAATATGAGTTAATCGACTAAATATTATTATTCCTTTATATTTCGTGTGGAATAATAGGCTTCAACACTGTATCTCCCACCTAGTTCATTTCATCTCACTCTGTTTTCCAGTATCCTCTTTGGTTGGCTTTCATCTCCTCCTCAAATGGTCTCGTCTCCATGTAACCCATACACCCAGACCCAACTCGTCACTTCCCATCCGGGTTCCATTTGAGCGGCGGCCTAGGGAGTGATGTCTCTCAGCAGTCTCCTCAGTGTTTGTCCGATCCATCTCCATTTCCCTCAGTTCTTGGTTGGTTCATCGTCAACATCCTTTGGCGCTATTTCTTTCCAGTCTACTAGCTGGTCTTCAGTATTCAGCTAGCAAAGGTATCTGTTGATAAAAGTCTGAAGAATATTCGAAATGCTTTTGGTGATGCGTTTGTCTCTGAACCATGCGGAAGAATTCACTAACTGTAAATTAGTGTTGAAAATCCGAATCTGTTTCTTTACGCTTAGTACAGTAGATTTGCAGACTGATTTCACAGTAATGAAATTTTGTCTTGCATTTCCGATCGTGGCTCTGTGATATCCTGATCCGTCCCAGCCACCTGTAGTTGAAACGATGCTACCTGGATAGGTAAAAGAAATGACTTCTTTCAAATTTCCCTCTTTATATGATTAGTTATTGTTATTGATTATGGTTAGTTATCTTCATCAACTGTGTCTTCTCTTTGTTCACTTGAAGTCCTATCTTCACTGCTTGGCTGCCTCTTCTGCCAACTTGTTGGTTCTCGTGTGAAAATCTTCGAGTTTAGGCGACATTAAAAATAAATCAGACTAAATAGTAGTGGAAGCAGGACTTGAACCAAGGGCTCATCTCATCTGAAAATTGAATGCTTCTAAGCCAATGAATTTTTACAGTAGTGAAAACGTATTCGATATTTTTATGTACATTATTATACGTTATTATTAGCAGAGAAACGGCGTCTTCTGATTGGTCTTTTTCTCACTGGAAGTTATTCTGTCATCTCTTTGTGGCCGTTTCTTTCAAGGTCAGACCATATATATACGAATCGTATCCGCCCACGTAGTCTTCTGTTATTGGTCGTTGCGTTAGTCTTTGTTCTCGTTTTTTTCTCATGATCAAGATTTAGGACGTATACATTGACATAAATTGCTGTCTACTAATTTTGGCTAGCAGAAAGCTCTCACCACAAAGGCAGACCTGTTAGCTTTGACGTTTGAAAAGATGAGTGCCCACTACAAATGTTGCTAAATTTCAGCTGATAATTCTCAGGTCAAGACCAAACACCCATTCTGGATCTCAGAGTTAGCGACAATCAACCAAAAAAACTCCGTTTAAAAAAAAATTCATTACGCCTGATACGGTTATGTATGCGCTTTCATGTATATAACCTGTAAAAAAGAAACTGGGCATAAATTTCGACTCATCATTCAGTCTAACTGACTGTTTGTTTGTTTCATGTGTTGACTGATTAACATTTATCGATCATGTTAACGAAGACTAAATAAGTTCAATCAGTAGTGGTTGTCATTTGTGAGACCAGTTCATTTGTGTATACACCACACATGATCTTAATACCTCAGTGATACAGAATCCAATTCACGATTTACAATTTACGCAGTTTGACGGGATTATTTCACCACAGTCCCCATTGGAAAGAGAAACTATCCAGATCACGTATTGTGATCTGATTGATGGTAATCAAGAAACCAATCATAAATGCATGATGCTATATATTATTGATTGATTAATAATGAGTGGTTGGATACCAACCATTCTAAGAAGCAGTGCTTGCTAGTCAGATTGAAATGATCTGAGATGGGCTGATGATTCAAACCGGACATATCACTGATGCGGTCAACCCCAAGCGAGTTGAAGTGAGTAGCATCCGACTACTCGTTTCAATCAATTTGAGCTCTGAGTGGAACATAGGAGGGCTTCAAGCTTCAGCTTTGAAGTTTCAGTAGCGGAGGTGTTTAGTGTTTATGGCGTGGGCTTGCCAGCTTCACGGCCAACTTTCCCACTATGCCAAGCATACTACGGGCTAAGCAAGGTTTTGTGGAGTTCGTCAGCCGGGAATCGAATGCGGACCACGGGTGTGGTTAACAAGCGCATTCTACTGCTAAACCACCGACTCACTCATATCAATCAATGAATCAATCAGTATTGCATAGCATCATGCGCTTATGCTTGGTAATATAATCTCTAGGTTTTTTCCGTTGAGTGACGCATGCTTCTTACATTTCAGATACACGGCTCGACGATGATTTATAATAAACAAATAAAATAAAAGCCTAATTCAGAATCTCCTGAAAATCTAATGCCTGAATGGTTTCAGTGTTCATGTTTCTGACTGCAGAACTACTGGATGACGTGAAATCACTTTCTTCAGAATTAGAGATACGCTTCGTTGAAATAAACCTAGGTCCAGAGCCCCTGTTGATGCCCTCCAATCATGTCCACATTACAAACTGACCGATAGAATTCATTTCAATTGTTAGATTTCGGCATGAACCAACATCAGTTAGAGAGAGATCACTGGAAACAGCCAGGGAACACTAAACAGCTGTTTTGTCCAAACTTGCGACTCTTCATCAGTGACCCTACACGGCCTCCACCAGGTGTCGAACCTGGGAGTTTCAAATTAACAGACCAATATTGTTGACCATTCAGCCGCCTGGACCAGAACTCTATGACCCGTGAATTGTTACTTCTTCAGGTAATGCTATAGAGATACCACCGACTAATGCCTTCAATGAGCAGTCGTTTCACGTCCACATGGTGGACCCCATTGGTCACAACTTCTCAGTAGAGCTTCACAACAACCATCCAGTAGTAGCCATCAGTCAGCTGGAGATTGATATTCAAATTATGGAATTTATGCGAATTCGGATTAATTTAATTCCAATTGTTAGACTTCATCAAGAACCAACATCAGTCAACCCCACTAAAAAGACTACACACATGACACTGATTACAACCACCCACCCCCCCAAAAAAACCCGGCGCACCTATCTCCACCGAGTGACCACTATTCACACACTTACCAAATAATCAGTTCTAGCTTTTTCTAGCAACTGTTTACGAGCCTCTTCTAGTTGTCTACGATATTCAGCTGTAGCTGCATGAGCTTGATCAAGATCAGTTGTCTCAGGTAGAACAAAATCAGATACCAATAAACGTTCAGCAGCTCGAATAGTTTGATTCATTCGAAGCATTGCTTGTGATTGACGATTCCTTAATTCTTCGGCATGATCTAAATCAACAAATTTGATAACCTGTTTACCAAATTAAAAAAAAAAGAAAAGAAAGAAATTTATTAAAACAAAAATTAGAGAAAGTTGAAATTATGGAAACAAGTACTTCTTGGAGGAGTATAGCTAGAAAAATCCCCAGGTTAAGTGATCAAGAACACACGAGTCAGTAAAGTGACCGCTTTTCGCATAACTAGCAAGATATTGTTCAGATGCGTCGTCCACGAACACTTACCAGCGTGGATTCATAACGAGCTGATATCACTGAGACAACTCTTGGAAAACCAACAGCACTGGACAGCTGTTTCATCCCAGTTTGGGACTTTTCGACTGCACTGACCTACCGTCAGGGACCTTCAGTTTTACAGGGCAAGCCCATAGACCATTCAGTCACTGGGACTTGATCCAACAACCAGCCCTATAAATTTCAACTTCAGTCGTTTCACTATATATATCGGCATGGTCATCATCAAAAGGAAAATGCAACAGTCAACAGCTCAGTTCTCCAGCACATGATTACTTGTGGTATCATGCAGAATTATTGGCCACTTCGTTGGATTTCACCTACATCGTCTTCATGCAATGAAGCTTTTGCAATCCATAAAAAAACACCCTGTGAATTTTTTGTTCAGAAACGTTTTATCCAGTCTCTTTAACTACCATGACCTTAGTGTCAAGTACTGGACTTCCTGAGTAGTCCTAGAATAAACTTTATGTAGTCGTTTTTATTTTTGTAGCGCTTTTTTCCATCTTTGTTTTCAAACGATTACTCATCACTCAACTAACTGATTATTTGTCAACTACCCCCCCCCGATTACATAAGACTACCTACAAATTTTTCAAACAGTGTTATTACTGGTACACTCTGATTTGTCTTTGTTACTAACTCACAAATGACCTCTGACTTCTGTTGTCAAATGACATTGTCAAGTATTGGTTTTGTAGGGATTTTGTTTGATTGGATGGAGGATTTCATCATGAGCTGACATCAGTTAGAGAACCACTGGAAAACCTGGGAGTACTGGACAGCTGTTTCGTCCCAGTTTGGGATTCTTCATCAGTATGCACCCATCGGGGTTCGAACCCAAGACCCTCTGGTTACAAGGCGAGCTCGTAGACCATTGAGCCACTGAAATGAAATTGTGTATATATAAACCACTTGAATAACTGTACAACTTTGAAGTAGAGTTACACGAAAAGGGATCTCTTTGCTTCCTTGTGTTCTTCATAACTAGCAAAATCGATCAGACTTGGTAAAGAGGGGAGAGATTAGGCATGAGGTTAACAAACCCACCCTGTAAAAAAAGCAACACCCACAACCACTGAAACTTTAAATTTCAAACGCTCAAAGCCCTATGTTCCACTTGGAAAGCGAAAGAATAGAAAAATAATTTTTTTTAAATAATGAATTTGTGAGTCATTTTATTCATGAAGTTAGTGTAATGCTGAATAGGCCATCAAGGCTGACAATGAAACGTCCAAAATAAGACGAAAAAGCTTGGGGAACATAAAGTTAAATCTCCTTCAACCTCATCTTCAGTTATAAATCACATTTTTTTACCTCAAAGTTAGAATAGCTGTGACAATAATAGGCAAATAGGCACTGAATACATTTTCATGCCAAAATAGTATGTGCAGCATTTTCGAATGCTTAGTTGTACTGTATTCTAAGAGTTAATTATTTCAATAACAGCAGCTTGTATACAGAATACAGTTCCTGTGAGCAATCGAGAAACAGCTACATGCCATCAGTCAGAATTAATTTGTTCTAATGCTACGCATAAAACAACCAAGCAGTATTTCTCTTATTCAAATTATGTAATACGTATTGCCGCAGTTGTTTTCTATGAGCTGGAAAGTTTAGTTGTGTAAACTTGAACATAAAACTTGGGCACTGTGGTAGAGTATAACTCCATAATGGGTAGGATTTTATGAGCAATAGTTTGTGCTCGAAACGTCATCAGTTAATTTAACTGTACAACACTGTGTGATTTATTAAAATAAAATCCTATCCATTATGGAACATGATTGGTTGCCTCTGCATGTTTTATCAGTCCCTAGTCCAAACGTATTGATTATTCTGTTGACCTGCTGACCACTGAAACAACCAATCACGTTCAAGATTTTACCAAGAGAGATAGGCTGATAAAATTGTGGAGACTTAATTCCGAATACTTATTCTCCAAACTGAAATCTGAGCTGAAGATGTTGCCTAGAAAGACAATGGAACCTTCTCAAACAAATCCCATCCATCCCACAAACACACACAAAACACAACTACACCAAGAAATATCCAACTGTGCTACAATTCTTCTCCATCATATCACAAAATAAGCATTGACTAAGGTTGGGATGAAAATCTCGAACCACCTTCACCTTCAATCATCGCCACCTACGCAGATATGAATAACAGTCTCCTAAAGCAAAACCAACTCAGATATACAGTCACTCTACTATCAATCTCACCATTCATACAAATAACAAGAACTTCACTAGCTGTAATACAAACTTGTGAAAGCACTGAACCTTGAAACACACATATCCAATATTTAATATTGCCTAGAATGAATACATCTCAAAAAATATCCATGAACATATACTCACACACACACACAAACACAAATAATTCACACGACGTATAATACGATATATTAATCTAACGGAAAAAAGAAAACTTCAAAACTCAAAGAGAGAAAACAAAGTATTTTGCTTTGTTTTAGAAAAAAAGAAACAACTCAGGAAATCCTGTTCTCATTATATAATCAATTATTTCATTAATTGACTGGCTTGTTTAAATTGTCCGTTTCTATACATATGTATATATGTATATGGTAAGTAACAATTTCTTACCCAATGTAATGCGCTGTTGAATATATAACGATTAATATCTGATACCATTATTATTATTATTACTATTATTTATACACAGATTACGTGAATAGGTTAGCAACAGCTTTGAGAAAAACAAACGATAAGCATATATATACATACAATGGGACATCTTATTAAATTAAATATATACTAACTACTACCGTAACGGTAGAAGTCTTAGAATAACAGCCAGTCATGCGATGAATGTTTCATCAACCTGAAATCAATCTGGAAATCTTCTGCACTAACTCAGCCAGCCAGCCAGCATAAACAACAAGAAGATTCGGATTCTGTTCAACACAAATGTCAAGTCAGTCAGTCAGTCACTTCTTCTACACGGGTCAGAAATCGGTCGGTCGCTCGGTCGCTTTTCGACAGAGAACTTTGCACATATGTGCGGCAGTTCAAGTCGCCACACTCCCTCCATGTAGCATACAAAGGAAGAGAAGAAAGTAGGAGAAATGCATAATATAGACAGTAAACAGAGGTGTGAGACAAAGGAATAGTAATAACGAAGAACAAAAAAGTTTAATTGGAAATCATAAATCACAAGGAGTGGATGCATCTGCGCCAGTCATTGAGAACGATTTTGAGCCATGTCACCAACTGTTTCCAACCATTGGTTTCTACCGTCCCGAGGACCCCAACCAGGAAGTCTACATCTTCCTACGTGGCTTAGACTAAATGTTGTAGATTTCATTGATTGGTGCCATGTTTTGGTTTGACCGCCGCTAGCTCTTTTCCAGCCTGGCCCTATATCAGCTAACATTGTCCGTTGTCGAGGAAGGCGATAACTAGGCATTCATTCGTAACACATGTCCTAACCATCTCCGTCGATGTAATTTCACAGTCTCGTCGACTGATTTCCCCTCCTTACCTAGCACTCGACCGAAGCCTCACCTCAATATTGCTCACCTTATCATACCACTTCACGCGGGAGATAGAGCGCAGACATCTATGATCGAACACAGCTAATCTTTACATGTCTTCTGCTTTCAATGGCCAGGTCTCACAGCCATAAAGGAGGACGGAGCGGACTGTTGAGCACGGGTCAGAAATATGGCTAGCGTGTCACGAAAGGAATTTCCACCTTTGTTGAAACTTATATTTTGTAAAAAATTATAACTACATTAGTATTCACATTTCATCGCATGTGTTCTGAATGACTATACGTTTCATATACATTCAACTGGCAATGTTAACTAACGGACTAGTATCACATGCTATACATGTAACCCAATGCAATAGTTTCTGATATGATTTTCATTTGCTTTCACTGGCTGGCTTCTTGGGTTTATTCTAACATTCATATAGAGCTTAAAGAAGACGAAGAAGAAGAAGAAGTTATTGACACCACAATTGTTCACCCAAATTATTCTTTTGCTAAAAAATATACTACAGGGATATTTAAATTGCAGGTGCCAGTTAGTCCTAAAATCTGCCTTGAAGTCACCAGCCTAACCTATAAAACTACAACAACAACCACAGATCTTTACACTCTTGTTGCATACCAACGAAATCTCATCAGTACCCTGATGTTTAGCGCGTCAGAAAAATCTGTACAACCGATACTCTGAACATTGAAAGTAGGGAAATAGAAAACTTATTTCATTACAGGAGAACGGATATCCATGTAAATTTGTCAGATTTTTGATTTTTTTATTATTTTTGATCAGAGCTTGAAACCACACAGTATTTTTGGTACAAGTATGGAATTTTCAGCGTATGATATCGGTAGCCCAAATTCTACAGGCCGATCATAGATATCAGGTGTGCGTCGGCAGGGGGTGGAACTCCGGACCATGTGCATGGTCGGCGAGAGTCCTAACCATTATCCATGATGAGGATAGATAAAGAGAAATGACTGCAATCTGTGCAGAAGAAACGCATACATATGTGACCTTCATCATTCAAAGGAGATTCAGCTACTGAATCACTGCCATAGAAACTCATAAAAATTATAACCACAAAACTATGCTTAAAATTCACCACTCATTGTTTTATTACACTGCAGGTGAAGGATAAGCTACCGGGGGGTTGGCTACTTCACAGCTTGCATCATCCATACATTTAACTGCTCTTCAGGAGACAGTTGCATAGGTAGAATGACCCGGGCAGCCCACTTTTGCCTTCTTGAGCATCGCGTCTAATGAGGAGTTGTTCCATATTGTGATACACCTAGTGGATACGGATGAGGACAAGATTGATCAACAAAATTCAGTCTTTACAATTCCATACAAAGTGCAACTTCAATTCTCTCCAGGTTTGTATGTCTTCGAGGCGGTTTTCATAATAATTTCTCAACCCAATCTGCATGTTCAGGAAAAAAAGTCAGTCCAATCCCTCTCCCCTCCCATGGCTTTCGCAATACACCTAGAATACTTATCATGTTTCCCAGTGACACAGGAACTACTGTATATATAAATGTAGAGCCTGAAGAACAAAAAGTTATTGAGACAAGAGTTTTTTCTCCCCCTCAGAAAGCAATTTTCTTGTTCTAATGATTGATTTATACACTATGAATAAAAAAAACACCACCAACAACAACAACTCAATACTTACTTCAGAAGTGACTTCAGTCCATGTTTTATTCATATTTTCTAATTCACTATCCAATGTAGATATAGCTGTCATATCACATGTATGCATTAATTCATGTCCAAGATCATTTAACGCTGAAACACGTGTACGCCATTCTTTTAATTCCGTATACAATTTTTCACGTTCTTCAGAATTGGTTGTTTCATCAGCCAGTAGTTTTTTCACATCACATAACCAATTACTTAAATTCACTTTTTCCTTTGAGATAAATTAAAAGAAAGAATTGAAAAATAATTAAAGTAATAGTTATAATGAACATTTTATCCTATTAAATGCTGTTAGGATAGACAAACTTCTTTGTTAGGCGTGAAGTCATGATTTATCCATGCACTAACATGATAATCTGATTGGACAGTTTTTGATTGGTTGATTTATGGCTTAATTTTCTGACGTTTTGTAAGTGTATGAGATATCATGTATTTTGTCGTATAAAAGTTGTTAAGGTTGACGAAATAAGCTGAGTGAAATGTTGTCAACATAGTAGACTAGATAAAATGTTAGAATATGCCATAACATAAAGTGAAATAAAATAAAACAAAAATGGGACATGGCTGAGCAAAGGAGAACACAGAGGTATTAATTCACCGATATTGTAACACATCTTATAGATACTGACCACGCAGACATCTGACACATCCATCGTCCGACAACGTTTGTCGAGAGGGACATAAGTGCATTTTGCTTTGTATAACAGAGGCTTTGGTAATACATAACATTAGGCCAGAACTTTGTGTACAAAAACAATTTGTACAACCTCTTTCGTTACCCCATGGTCTTGACTTTACTATGTAATTCACATAACAACTTTGTTATCCTTCTTTATTCCGTGTTCCATTTTTGTTTTTATTTCATTTCACTTTATGTTATGGCATATTCTAACATTTTATCTAGTCTACTATTTTGACAACATTTCACTCATCTTCTGTCGTCTCCATCATGTTTGTTATATTCACACATTCACATTTTCGAATGTACTTTACTCTCTTTTCCGATCATCTATTTCACACATGTCATCCATTGAGCTTTAGGTTGACCTCTATTTATTTATTTATTTAGTTATTCATTCGTATATCTAATCAATTGTGACCCATAATCCTATACACTAATATTATTATGGCACTTTAGTATGTCCACTCACTGTCAAACTTTAACTTGCACATACACACACACACACACACGAGGAAACTGATCGTTATTGTCTGTTGTAATTCACAAATATATACGATTATACAGCTATGAAGATGAAATTGTCGAAAGGATGATTTTCTTCGCTGAATTCTCTGTTTTTCTGTCTCAATGGGGATTATTAATTTAATAACCATTGAAACCATTTATTATTATTATTCCCTGGGGCTTCCGAGTGGAACTCACAGAAATTCAGTAGCACACCTCTATCTCACACTCTGTTCTCTGAGGTCTTTTTTCAACTGGCTCAACAATTGTCCAAAACCTTGTATTTGCACTTCACACGATCTCTTTCATGTCACACTCTCGGACCCCCACACACCCAACACTCTTCACTCGAGCGATAGCACCTGGCCTGGAATGTCAGTCAACAATCTTCTCATTGTATGCCTAATCTGTCCACCTACATTGTCTTTTGGCATATTTATTAGGGTTGAAAATTCGGATCTTGTTACTCATGCTGAGTGTAGAAGATCTCCACACTATGATGAGATTGATGAAATTATTACTACTACTAATATCATCCCCATAGGTTCCGCTAGTGGAACACGCGGCCTCAGTAGAGCATCGCCAACTCATCAATATTCCCTGAGATCCTCTCTCTGTAACTAGCTGGACAATTGTCCATAAGGTCTCACCTCCACCGCACATAATTTCCTTCATGTTACCCAGACACTCACGTTGAAATCATCATCTCCCATTAGGGTTCTATTCAAGGATGTGCCTGGTACGTGATGTCACACAATAGTATTCTCCTCATTGTATGTGTGTGTCCAATATATATCTCTATTTCCTTCGGTATATTTTTCGAAAGATAGACTCTTGGTTGGTTTGTTGTCAAAATTCCTTGTTGCTAATCCTTTCTAGACCGCCGACCGGCAGACTGTCTGATCTTCAGTATCGAACCAGAGAAGGGGAGCAGCTGTTGATGAAAGTCTGCAGTAGCCTATTTGGAAATGTTTTCGGTAGCGCCCACGCGCACCGAGTCTCTGAACCATATAGAAGCAGCACTCACTTGATTAACATTTGGAGTTGCATATTCGGATCTTGTAATGAATGTTCAGTTCAGCCTATTTCCATACTGACTTAAGACTAGTGACGGTGCCATTTTACCTTTCCGATTCTGACTGGCTTTGATATCCTCAGCATATTGAAACCATTCAACCATTTTGTTCAAATCAGATATCCACCTGGACAGGTGTTGAATCACTCCTATTACACGTATTTGCAGTTGATCCGATAAACAAAGCTTCTGTTATCAATGTCTCCCTCCACCCTGTGACATTAGATTTTAAAACTGCAATCTTTTCCTTTCCATCCTATTGGTGTGGTTGTTTGTAATTGTATGCAGTTAGTGATAAAGCTGAAATATTCTCTAGTTTTCTTATCTTATTCGGGTCAACCAATCTAGATTTAGCTATGATTTCATGCTCGGCTAGTGCGACTGCCCCTGTTCTACTAGTTTGACCTATGTATTTGACGTGACAATCATTACAGGCAGGGTATTAGATAAACTAAATTGTTTTGTTTTAAAGGCTCTACAGGATCCTTTAGCCGACAAAGCTTGTTTCTAATTGAGTTTGTGGGTTTGAATGCCAGCTACTTGTATTCCTGCCTTGCTAAGATTTCTGCGTATGGTTTCCGAGGTTCCTTCCTTGTATGAAATTACTCCTGATGATTTGGATTCCTTATTGTTGGTGTTGTCTTGCGCATATTTGACATGCATGTCGTCATTATTATTATTATTATTATCACTGTCACTACTATCATTATTTATTTAATTTTCACATTTTCCAATACACTTCCTCACTAATTTATCAGAGTAATTATTAAGTTTCAAAGCTTCTCTTCTATGCGTCACTTCCTGTCTTAGATTTTCCTTGGTACTACTTAGTTTTTGTGCTCTATTGTTTAGACATTTCACCAATCCTATTTTCACTGACATAGGATGGGATGATCGTAAGTCCAAATATCTGTTTGAATGCGTGGGTTTCCTGTAAACACTAGTGTTTAACTCCCCGTCTTCTCTCCTTTTTACGTTACAATCTAACATTGGAAGTTCCTCTTCTTGACTTTCCAATTCATCATAAGTGAATTGAATTGCCTCCACCTTGGAGATAATGTGTTCTAAAAATCAATATATATCCTGTGTTCTAAGTACAGTGAATGTGTCATCTACATATCTCCACCATACTACCCCTACGACAAATAGGAGAGAACAAAGAAAACTATAAAACTCAAGTTTCGAAGTCGTGTGATTATAATTGATATGATTATGAACAACAATAAATAGTGTTCAAAACGTCGTCCAGTAAATAATAATACTGTTTCATCACTGTGTGATACATCTCATAAACAAACTAATATGGAACCCAATATTTGATTTTTTTAAAAATTTTAAAAATGATCTGAAATTCTTAAAACCTACTGTTTCATATTGATCCCATTTCATACAAAATTCTCCCAAATGTGATTGTAAATCCAATAAATCTGACCAGGTATCTTTCCAACGTGTTTGTAATGAGGATAGAAAAAAATTTGCCTCTCTGCGTTCCGTTTCAGCATAATCCATTAGAATGAAGGCTCCACCACCGGCACTAACTGAAGCTTGTTGTTGACTCTGGGAATTGGATAAATCTGCTTTCAACTCCATTTGTTCACGTTGTTCAACTATTCGACACGCTACATCATCACGTTCACCGGCTAACTGCTTTAATTTCTCTAAACTAGTATTCATATCTTCAGGTAAATTCAGTGAAGTTATATATTCCTATTTAATGAGAGGAGAAAAAAAGTTAATGTAAAACAAATTTACAGTCAAATTCAATTCAAATCGAATAGTAACTGGTAAAGTGTGGCGTGTACTACTGACAAGATTCGACAGTAGTATATGTAGACGCAGACTAATAGGAAGCGTCCAAAATTGAAATCAACATTTCAAGTCAATGGCTGCTGAGGTGGATAGATAGATGTGTTTATTCCTCGAATCTGGATTTAGCTTACGTTGCGGAGACAACTCTTTTCGTCTCAAGGTTTGACCTTCAAAAAATCGCCAACCAATCAGGACAGTTCATTATCCGCTGACATGGCTGAAAGTGTATAAATTTGGTGTTTTAGCTTTGCTTAATAAAAGATGCCTGTTACCAAGACTCTTGTCTTATTCCGTTACAATAAGTGTTGTGCATAGAAGGTGGCTCTTGTGGCCCTAATAGCCTAGAGGACAATGCTTTGGCGACTGGAACGATGGATGGGTACAGAGTTCAAGCCTCAATTGGTTTGCAGGTGTATATCCAGCTAACGAGTCCCAAGAGAGCACGAAATGTGCATCCTGAATCCCACTGTTGCTCACGATAAAGCAAAATAACATCTCAATTAGATGCTAATTAGTGAATAACAGTTTGATGTTCGAAACGATAGACACTGGGTTCGAGAGACTCAAATAAGGAGAACGCCACCACTCACTGAGAATGCTGCTATGCATACAGCCGACTTCTCCAAAATAAGTACGACACGTGTAGCCTTGATTATCACACTGCTAGCGAATTTCAAATAATGACGAGTGAGAATTAAAAGACATCTGTAAAAAGTGGTACGACCAAGTGCTGTGCAAAATGACAGCACACCATCTCTACAGTGGACATAATACCCGGATGTCGACCAAAAGACATGTATACTACTCAGCAGGTCGCTCCGTCCTCCTTTATAGCTGTGAGTGAAACACGACCACTGAGTGTGGAAGACATGAAAAGGCAGATAAGGTGTCTTCGATCATAGGTGTCTGCGTTCTATCTACCGTGTTAGGTGGTATAACAGAGTGAGTAATAATGAGGTTAGGCCTCAGTCGAGTGTTGGGCAAGGTAGAAAATCGACGGACAAGATTGTGAAGATACACCGATTGAGATGGTTAGGACATGTATTACTCATGCCTAGCCATCGATCGCCTTCCTCGACGAGCAATGTTAGCTGGCATAGGACGGATCAGATTGGAAAAGAGCTAGTATATGCTGGTCAAACCAAAACATGACTTCATCAATCAGTGAAATCCATAACAATTAGTTTAAGCCCCCCCCCACCGTCTTGGAGATCCACCACACACACCCCACGTATCAACCAGTGCTACAGTCAGAGATGTTGTCAATCACACTTTTAAGAGTAAAATTTTCTTGGAGAAAAAAGTAACCCTAATGCTCTGGAAGAAGAATTAGACTTTTCGAAAGAAATCTTCATTCAAAAAGGATATCCACCGAGATTTAGTGACAAGAACATCAAGCCAAAAAATTCAAAGACAGTAGTCATCTATGCTAAAAAAGACACTTTACATGAACCTTGACTTCAACTGTGACCCTACTCAGTGATTTTCTTCAGAGAAAAATTACAGCTTCTTTAAGAAGAAAGTAGTGATCTCCAGCTGTCCATTTATCTTCAGAAGCTCAAAGGACAAGATCTCGTATTTGACCACCTCTCTAAGTATATATAAGCAGGTCACCTGTTCTCGCGAAACTAGGTATATTGGTCGTTCGACGCGGATCCTGTCTAAAAGGGTTCAACAACACTATCCCTTGCTAAGACGATCCGTTTTCTCCTCCTTTACACTGCTAAATCTCTAGCTATCCAGATGGAGAAACGGGAATTGTGCATACAAAAAGAAAATCTTCCAACCACTTCTATTATCATATAATAGGGAACATATTGTTTTCAACCTAACTGTCTCCTTAATTTTATTTCTCTGACCCTTTCTGACTCATCTATGCCCTCAAACTCATAGACTATACAAAATTCCCTTTGTTTTCTATGTGAGTCGTGATTACAATTCACTTATTACATTACTTAACTCATTACATAATTCGAATATGTATTGATTAATATAAGCTACTATTCTTGCGATGATTCATCCCTTTGTTACTATCCACTTTTAAGATTTAAACAAATTGTAAAATAGCCACTGGATGGATTTCCTGAAGATGCAGTAGTAAGTTTTAACCACTTTTCTGATTCCCTTACGTTCCCAGTGGAACATAGAGCTTCAAACTGGAGGCTTCAATTTTCGGTAGTAGTGGTGTTTATTTTTACGGGATAGGGTTGCTAGCATGCCTCATGCCCAACCTTCCCTCTATATACCAGTCTAATTACTGACTTGGCTAGGTAAAAGAGTGCGTCTGTGGCCAGGGACCGAACCCCGGACCCCATGCGTGGTTGACGAGTATTCTACCGCTGTGCCAACAACGCACGTTATAACCAGTAAGGTTCACCATTTCAAAGTGAAGTGAAGAATCATCAGTGTCTAAGGTTGAGAGTACCATTATATCAGGAGTTGACAAAGTTAAAATTCAGGGGTCACTGAACTCAAACAACAGCCCAAATGGTTGAATAATGGTCAACGAGCCAAACAAGCCTCATAACCTGAAAGTTCCTGTTTCACTTCTCGGAGGGTGTGTGTATCGTTCAGAAGTACCATCAGTTGGGATGAAACAGCTGTCAAGTCCTCCCTGGTGGTTCCCAATGATCTCTCTGGTTCTTGACAAAAATCTAACAATTGGGAAAACTGTAAATAAATGCGACTGCATAGCTAGAGAGGAAAATAAATTTGCCAGAAAAAAAGAGCCATAAAAACTATTCATCAATCCACAGCTTACTTGAATCTCGTGAATGAATTTATCCACCTCAAGTTTCTCTTTACACTTGAATGTTTGCCAATCGGAGACACGATCACGGATCATAGCTACTTTGTTGGCTAAATGCCAACGTAAAGCTAAGCGTTCCAAACGTCGTCTAGCCAGTTGACCATCCAAATAAGCTGTAATAAAACGTGATCTTAGAGAATTGACAATATTCTGTGGTAGATGAACAGGCAACGTCTGTAGGACATCTTCTGATGCATTTTCAGCTATTGAAAGTATTTTTTGATTTTCTTCGCTTAATCGATTGATCAAGTTGTCAAGATCATCAATATTTTTGTAGATTTCCTACAATTTAATGTTGTTTTTAAAAAAAAGAGAAACATGAGAATAATGAGACTGTTAACGAATATGTAATACGATACACTTTGAAATGACAACATATCGATAGATTCTGAAACATAGGCATACCACTTACCAGAAACCAACAATTGCCATATTTCTTGACCTAAAGGAGGAATTCCACTCCATCATCAAAGAGGTATTATGGCAACGTTTGACCGTGAAGGGAGTGCGGACAAATTATGTTTCATTAATCAGGGTACTTCACTCGAACTCCCACTGTCGTGCAGGAGTTTATCGAGAGATACCATTTGAAGTAATGACAATCGTTGATGTACGTCAGGGGGATGCCCACTGTCCTAATTTCTGTTTAATTTCATCATAGATGTACTAATGGAATCGACCTTAACTGATTTTAGCGACTTAGAGATTGACTTGCTAACAGATAACAGTCTTGTCGACTTAGAGTCTGTGGATGACATTGCCCCCCCTTACCAGTTGAAGACGCTGACGAAATGCGAAGTTTTACACCTTGAGCAGAAACCTTCGAATATTTGGCAATCGACTCACTCGTATCGGATGTAAGATGATACTGCAGCAATGGACCATACTGACTTGCAGTTTGAAGATAGGAGGTGAAGTGGTGGAGCGTGTTAACCACTTCGTCTAATTGAGAAGTTGTTGCAGCAGCTCTAATGAACTGATTATTAACAAATATCAGTAAGGACACAAAAGGCTCGTATAGCATTTGCTAACTTGCGTCATTTTTGGTGTATATGTATCGACAATAAGACGAGTGTTCTGCACAACTGCTCTCTCCGTTCTTCTTTACGGTTGAGAGAAATATAGCTACCTATCTTTGACCACATATGTTTGCGTTCTATCTCCGGTGTTAAGTGATATAATATGGTGAGTAGTTTTGAGGTTAGGTGTAGAGTGTTAGGTAAGGGGGAGGGTAAGTCAATAGATGAGGTTGTGAAGTTACATCGATTGAGACAGCTAGGACACGTGTTACCCATGTCGACGACCCACCGCCATCCCCGTCGAGTAATGTCAGTTAACATAGTACTTGGTTTGGAAAAGAGTGGTGGTCAAAAGTGGTCAAACCAAGAACTGTCATCAATCCCTGAATTACTTAACTTATAATATGAGCTGGAAAAGGAAACGAAGGCTTATGGGCAAACGAGGAGTGATCTTAGGAGGAGATGTGCTACCGAAGATCTAGGTTCTACGCAGAACCCAAGGGAACAATAATAATAATAATGAGTACAATTACCTCACAATTTGGAGCTGCTTCGAAAATTAAGTATACACTGTATACAATGAAACACTAAATGAGGGACTATTACTACTACTATTTTTATTCGTCCCTTGGACCATACGGCTTCAGAAGTACACTTCCACTATATTTGCTCCTTTGTGGCCTTGTCTCGCTTGCTCCAAGATTACCCACAAGCTTCCGTTTCCTCCTTCATGTCACATTTAGACCCATACCAAGCTTCTAATTCTGCTTCCATTTAAGGATCTGTCTGGTGGTGTGTGATGTCACTCAACGGTCTCCTCAGCGTATGAGAGACTATTTTAATATGCGTATTGTTGTACTTTGATTTGATTTCAATAATATTCCTTTAGCTACTCTTAATTCATGATGAAATCAATAAATAACAGAGAGGAATCATAGTTCTCTCTCTCTTTTCATATAAGGAATTCAGATTATATTATTATTATTATTATTCTCTTAGGTTCCGAGTGGAACATAGGGCTGGATTCAACAAAACATATCCACTTTCTTCTATTCTCTGCTCTGCTCTTCAGCTGGCTAGCTACACGATTCATCGTAATCTCTCATCTCCTCCAACTCGTTTCACGATCTCCTCCATGTCACCCTTGCTTTCCATTCACCTTCCACTCCAAGTGATGACCTGCATTCAGCGCGATGTCATTCGAAAGCCTCTTCAACGTATGTCCCACTGAACCATTTCCATTTTCTCCTACATATTTGTTCAGCGATCGACTCTTGCTTGTCGGTTTGTTTCCAGCCAGCCAAACAGCCAGAGTTTCTTGTTGCTAATTCTTCTTCTTTGAGTTAATTGACTTATGTTGTTACTTTGACCCTCAATACAGTCTTTTTCATTTGGCCTAGGTCTATTCTTTCACCCTCTTTAACGCAAGTGTGTATGTAATCAGTTCATTCGAAATGCGTTGCACAAACACATTACACCGATTCAGATAAATTACTTATTATCATTATATTTTCAATACAGATTTCATAACAAACCAGCATCAGTTAGAGAGATCATTGAAAGCCCGGGAGCACTTAACAGCTATCGTCCTCTCTTGAGACACTTGAACAGTGCACACACCAACGATGATAAATGGGTAGACTTTCAGGTTACGAGACCAAGGAGGTTGACCAGCGAGCCCCTTGGGACGGAATTGAAGACTCTTGGATTTAATAACTTTACCAATTTGTAAAATATTGCTGAATGGTAAACAAACTTGATCTCATAACCTAGTTGTGTAGTGGGTATACACTGATGACTAAAACGAAGCAGCTGTTCAGTATTCCTTCGAGGTTTTCAATTGTTATGATCGGAACTATTGCCCAATGGACTTTGACTGAATACTAACCGTAATGCGCTGGCTAATCTGTCCTAATCGTAAGTCAACAACAACAGTATTGACACCGCCAGGCCACAAAAGACAAAAGAGAAGACCGAACGTTGATAGGAGAGCTTCTACTGTCAAAAAAGGTTGACAGCGCTTGTGTATATATGTGTTTAAAATGACCTTAAGAAGCACTAATGTCACTGATAAATAAGGACAGTGAACAACCAATAGGATTTCAAAGGTCATAGTAATGTGAGAGAAAACTAAGTGAAAAATCAATAAGTGAGGTGAGAGAAATACAGACAGACATGTGGAAATGACAATGTAGAAAATCACGTCTATGTATCATTAATGATCTCTCTAACTGATATACTGTCGAGAATTTTCAAAAAGAGTAAAGAAATCTTATCACTGAAGAAAAACGTCAGCCATTAAATTGCACACAGAGATAAATGAGCGAATCAATATCAATGAAATGCACACATACCTCATGTTCATCTAAACAATTCTGTAGACGTTCTTCACGTTCTTTCATTGTTAAATTCTTTGCCTCAGGAGCCAATTCAAGACCAAGTTGTGACGAGATAAGTGCATCGCTAATAAGACATTTTTCTAATTTTGATAACCAATGACCAACTTGACGCCATTCCCCTGGCAGAACACTATCTAAACGCCATCTCCATTCATCTAGCTCAGGTTTTACTCGACTCCATTCAGCTTCAGCACGTTCTAGCTCTTCTGGACGTAAACCGAGTAGTAGGCCTTGACGTTTACGTTCATCAAGTTCTCTGATATACGCTGCCATACTTTCATGTTCCAGTTGAGCTTGAAGAAAACTCTACAATTTGAAATATAATAAATAATCATTGTTAGAATTTACAAATTGAAAACAATTCACACACATATACTACGACATGTAAAAGATACCCTGATTATAGTTGCCTTTGTAAACAGTTTGTGAATAAATGTGCAGGAGATTTTTTTAACAACTAACTTTATTTGAACAAAGAAAGAAGAAACATTGGCACAGAATAATCTGGATCCATTTTATTTCGTCGGTTCCCATCAGCTGCGTACAACCTGAATTCTTTAATCAAATAAAAAAGTGTAAAATTTTAACAAACGTTTGTCCATTAGCAAGCATATTTCCAGAGCGTCATAGTGAAATAAGGCGTTACGATTTACAAGATGTCTAAAGTGTTACGACATATATATATATATCTTGTTAGAGAGAAGTTTCTTGAAAAAAATTAATTAACAGTTGTGTTGTTGGGGTGGTAACAAAAGAAAATTAGTAATAGTTACGTAATTAGATAGGAGAAGATCAAAATTTCGGTGCACATGAGGTCAGGTGAGAAGTTGATGATGTAATACAGTGAGCAGAACTCAGAAGATCAAGAAAAATTACCTCTTAAGAGAGTCAAGCGAAAAATAAAGGAGGGGAGTGAAAAGATAAGTTAACAAAATTAGAAAACAAATAGTTACTAAGAAGTGAGTCACCAAGTCGAACAATGGATTCTTTTTGGACACATAAGTCAGGCTTCAATCGTTTTATTGCTATAGCTTCAGCAAACCAGAGAAGACTTGAGGTACTTTTGAAAGATTCCAGCACATCTGCTCGGTGTCCTGTGTCAATCAGTTGTTTGGCGATTGAAGAGCTTAAACAATTCGGTCCCTTTAACCGGAGGCTCCTTGGAATATGTTTGCAGAATCTGACGTAGGCCTTCCTCTCTGTTCTTCCAATGTAACCGCTCTCACAGATACATCTGAATTGGTATACACAGTTGGAGGTAACATGTGCGGGATAGTTGTCAATCTTTGACTGCACCAGTGAGCAGGTTGTTTGGGGTAGAAAGACTAATAATGCTGCAGGATACGTCCTACACAGGGCTGCGCTTAATCTTTTATTTACCATTCTCATAATGTCGTCGCCCTTGTAGTCGGGTATGATGAAAGTAGGCTTCTTACTGGCTGTAGCTACATCAAGCTTCTTGAGTTCATTCTTGTCATATTCGTTAATGAAACTTTGTGGGTAACCATTTTCTTTCAAGCATTTTTCAAGAAGCATTAGTTCACTGTCTAGTTTGTTTGGTGAACATATTCTCTTCGCTCTAGAGAAAAGCGTTTTCACCAGCGTTCGTTTGTATCGCACTGGCCATCTGAATCCTGTCTCGCTCAATCCAGATTTTCAATTGATCTTAAATGACCACTTATTATTAAATCAACAGTAATCTGGAAAATCCAAAGTTATGCCGGCAAGTTTCATCATCAAATATATTAATTTTATCCGTTTGCGTTCCAAGTGGAACATAGGGCTTCAAAAGCTTAAGCTTTAAAGTTTCAGTAGCAACGGTGTTGCAAGTCTCACACCCAACCCTCCTTCCTTACCAGAGTTCCTTTTGACTAGTATATTAGGAAAGGTTTTGGAATGCGTCATTCGGAAATAGGATTGCAATCTTCCATGTGCCTGGCGAACAACATTCTATCGTGATGGAACCACGGGATGCACTGGAGGAAATAATTGTATGAAATTTTTCCGATGATATTTTATTGCTAACTTATCCTACTAATCGAAATCAACATAGTTCGATAAATTGAATACCGATATCAAATCATGTACTGTGAGTACAACTCAATGTTTTCTTCTTGAGTTTTACTGCTTATACTATTACAAAGGACTAGACACATCGCACTAGTTACTAGTGTCCAATCAACATATCCACGACAGTCCTACAGGAGGTCGATCACGAGCCCGCATACCTAGCTCAGTGGTAACGTCTCTGACTGCAGCACTGGGTGACGCGGGTTCGAATCTCAGAAGGGACATGAGTTCCTTCAAGGTTGCAGATACGCCGCTTTGCTGACTAGTAGTGAGTGCCAACTAGCACGAAACCTAGGTTCGGGGCTTCCTACCGATTGCCTCCAACCATCTAATATTATCAAATCAATGTGCACCGTGATGGCGAGCCACCTAGAGTGGTGGCCACATTGCAAACCTGACTGATAGAATTCAGTCTGCACCGAAGAAAGGACTAGACACACATCACACTAGTTACTAGTGTCCAATGAAAACATCTTTGTATTCGCCGAAATCTTCAAAATGAACTCGACTTCATGGTGACAGTGTTGTATCAGCAGGCTTACACTCCTATGTATAGATACGTTCAGTATTAATTGAATGTGCAGTGAAAATCTGCACCACAGTAGGATTAGAACTTAGCAGTCTCCGAAATAGACTTGAACCAAGACAGTAAGAGGTGAAGGGAGGAGGAGGAAGAGGAGTCAAGTGAATAAGTTTGATGGTCAAACTAAAAAGGTTCTAAGAGGAATATGAGAAATGTGTGTGCGTATGTGGAATCCAACATGCGCATTTCGTCCTATTTAGGACTCGCCAGGTGAGGATGTGTACCTGCAATCCCTAATAAATGATGTTATTACTACTTATGGTGATCCATGACGATATCTTCACTGAACACTGACTGGTTAGTGAGTGAATAAAGAATATTCTTTTCGATAGCTTCTCCTGCATCAGATTCTACAGTTACGTGTACCGATAATAATTAAAGAAATATTGTTACTAACAACATTTAAGTTCGAAACGATGTTGAATGCATAATACTTATCTATTTTTTTCGATTTCGACCACGGATTGATATCAGTTAGAGAATCAATCACTAAAAAACCAGCCACAGGGAGTACTGGACAGCTGTTTCATCCTAGTGTTTGCAACTCATCCGCAGTACTCACCCACTATCGGGATTCGAACCCAAGGCATTCAAGTCACAAGGCAAGCTCATCCCTAACTAGGATGAAACAGCTGTCCAGTACACCCTGTCGCTGGTTTTCCAATGGTTCTCTAACTGATATCAATCTGTGGTCAAACTCGTAAACACAAATCAAATCCTTACAGATCAACTCTTAGAAACTAATACTGATCTGTTACATTTCGAAAGTATTTCTGCGTGATTATATGCATAAAAATGTAATATTATAGCGAATATAAAAAAATTAAGGGAAGTAATACAGCGCAAAGATTTCAGTTGTTTCAAGTCTTCTTAGATGAGCACACTCTCTGATGCTAACGGATGAGAAAGAAAAAGAAGAAACAAAATCAAACATTTCTGAGACTCTCAGGCAAAATAACTACACAAAGAACCTCATCAACAAAATCAACACTGACATCAAGTATGGTCGAAAACGTATTCCGAAAACATAGACCTCAACAGTTGTCATTCCATATAGATCAGAGACGTCAGACGATATCAGAAGAGTACTCAATAAGCTCGACATCAGAGTTTTCTTCAAAACATCAGACACACTACAAAGTGACCTTTTCCATATAAAAGACCAAATCTCTAAGAATTCTCCATCTAATTGTGTCTACAAAATAAAATGCTTCGAATATGATGCGATATGCATCGGACAAACATCTCGAGACAGAAATCAAGGGAATCAGAGGAAATGAATACCGTAGAGTATCTGTTCGACCACTGAGAAACCCAGTTGAACTAAAAAAGCCTGAAAAATCATCAGCCATAGGTTTGCACTCATTTTAAAGTCAGGGCACAAAATCGATTTTGACAATATTGAAGTCATCATCCAGAAAAAACATTTCAGAAATCACAAAGAACGTCTAACATCATCAGAAGCACTTCATATCAAGTGGAATCCAAATTGTCTGAATAGGAATGATGGACTAAAACAGAATATGACCTGGTTACAACACCTCCCTCCCCCATCAAGTGACAAAATCAACACGAATGCGATAAGCAATATCATTATACAAACACACGCTGTTTTATAATTTTACACACTTATAAAATCCAACAATCTACACTTGGTTTTGTTATCTTTACCAATTCACCAACTTGACAACTGAAAATAACCCCAGACAGACGAACGATGATCAAGTTAGTAAACTTTATTGTGATATCATAACAGACGCACTATTACCTTTGTTATTTGGTTTAGTGATCTTCATTGGTGTTTTGACTTTCAATATGTCCTTTTAACTTGACCTAAGTGGTCTATTTTCTCACCCCTTAACTCTTTGTTATATATATGCTGAGATTTTGTAAATTCTGGTTTAATAATACTTTGATAAAGCTACTAGCAGCATTAAAAAGCGAAACGTCAGTAAAAACGATATCGTTTTGTTTTTCATTCATTGGGAAATACAAAAACCTTTATTATAATGAATATCACATATACCCAAATTTTTTCAAACTGTTAAAAGTGAACTTGGTTTGGACATATATAAATGAAGTAATACATAATTTATGAATTTATAGGTTCCCACAACAGACCAGAGTAGCAATAGTGACTGGACCTGTTTCTTTTGCACACACACACACATAGTCCCAGTTCTTTTAAGCGAACTCCACTTACCTCTGCTGTTTGAAGAGTTCGATATTTGAAAGGTTTTGGCTATATATATTTGGTACCCGACAGATGATAGAAACAGATTCATCAATGCAAGTTTTATAATCTGTTTGGACAAGATGGAGGGTCTAATATCAAACTGTACACCTGTGTAGTGTTTACACTACACCACCTTTATTTAGCTACACGCAGGTAGATGGTGTTCCCTAGCACGAAAAACCAAGTTCCTAGAATGCAATAACCAATACAACTGTCTCCGCAGAAGCTGTCGACCAATGAACTCATAGATACAACAAAGAAAAACAGAACTAACCTCAAATTCAGTAATGAAATCTTGTGGATCGATCGGATTATGTCGAACACGAGCAATTAACTCTTTAATATTGATTAATAGAATTCGTTCTTTTTCAGCCTCTGTCTTTGGAGCATTACCCTGGGAGAGAGAGAAGGGGAAAAAGAAGTGCGAGATTTTAATTAGAGAGAGAGAACTTTACAAGGAATGATCTTATTCACAAACGACAGCTATGCATGCAACGGGAAAATATATAATCACGAACGACAACAAATTAGTGCAAATAAACAAATAAATAAGTGAATAAATAACACATCAATAACAACAAACAAGACAATTTCATACTGCACTGTGAATGGTGTCTAGGAAGATAATGAAACCTTCTCAGTTATACACTATCCAAACTCGGAGGCATAAGAATACACAACAAGGGTTTTCAGAGTGAACGTCTAGGTGTATTGTGAAATTCCTACATCCTGTAAATATCATCAACAATCAATAAGCTTCATCTCGCCACAAGATATACATTCATGAAACTTTCATTATTTGTATGATAAGAATTTGAATCTCGGAAACCTGCTCTAAGCCTTCAATAATAATTCAGACAAACTTCGATTTCCCTCGATGTTCAACTGCAAAGAAATGTTGATTTGAGTGATGATCCGAGGGTAGCGAAGAAATCAGTTTTTGAGACATCTCCTGCGTTGTAGTTTAGTCCTTCTCCCTGGGGTTGTTTCGATAAGTTGACCATACAATCAATTAGTGCAATATCAAATTGCTGTTATGTAAATTTGGCTCATTTGGTTTTAAGAACCTTTCATCTTTGTTCTCTGTGTCGTCTACTTGAAGACAGTGTAATCGCGATGATCAGCGTTGAAAGATGTTCCTCGGGGTAAGGATCTTTTCTCGGTATCTCTGGATCCGATAATGTATATCTGTAGTCATTAAATAGATCATTCATGTTCCCAAAAACTGTTCCGTCGATCCCCCTCCATTGGCCAGTTAGTAAGTTGATGGGTGGCCTGTATCTGACACTGCTTGCTGTCAGGTAACAGTAGTAATCCCTTTCCTTTCGAAAAAGAGGAGCATAGGTTGTTTACCGATACATATTCTTACACAATAAGTCGTTTATTTTACTGTAAAATCCGGATCTGAAGAGCTATCGCCATTCGACAGACGCATCTGAGTTTGAATTTATAATCCAGTGGGTATTCACAGCTTTCAAGATGAGAAAAATGGAGATGGTGAAGTGATAGAATGCTCGACAACCATGAATATGCTCTAGGCTTCGAACCTCAGTAAGTGCATACTTTTGAAGAATCTCTAACTAGGACGAAGCAGTTGTCCAGTACTCCTTGCTGGCTTTCCAATGGTTCGCTAACTGACGTCAACTCGTAATCAAATCCCTGCAGATTAACACTTGACTATCACAATTACTCCTTGGTTTTCAACGGTTCTTAACAATAATGTTGGTTTCTACAAGATGAAATCGTTCTTGAAAATAAGAAATAATTGTCTTAATTAGAGTGAACTGATACGATAAATTCCTTTTAGTGCAAAGGTCTCCTTGAACGGATCATTTTTGATTTTATTTTCATATTATCTGTTTACTAGTATTCACTAATGCAGTGGAATGCAGAAGAATGTACATGTTGTTTAATTTTGAATTCGAATTCGTTAGCTGACTACCCCACTTCTCGAATCCCAGTAAGTAACAATTTACCCGATACGACTTGAATTCAGTAGTGATTGTTTTAAATAAATAAATAAATTCTCTTTGATAAAAATTTCGAGTTTGTGGTTTAATGGTGAAATAATCGCCAATCACACCTCACGTGCTCCACGGTTCGCCCCCTAGACATCGACGCGCTTATAAACTTCACATAGCCAGTGGTAGTAAGTCCGGTAGATAGGGAAAGTTTGATGTGACGGTGACCTTGAAGGCCTCCACTAGGAATATAACGGAATAAAATAAGTCATAACTAAAAATAATGAAAGACTTAACTGATATCAATCCGTGATCAACTCGTCAAAATAAATCTAATCCTTACAAACCAACTATTGAAAATTAATCTGATGCTCGCTATTGGCTTGCTAGAGGACAGAGTTTCATGGAATTCTAGTGAGAAGTCGTGACCAGTCAGGCCCATCCAGTCGGTATATGAGGATGGATTTCTCGCCGATGACATTGATTGGTGGTCACGCTAAATATCACGAATTGGTACAAGTTAGAATTCATGGGTGTGCGGCGATGGCACAGCAGTTAGGACGCTAGCCGACCATGCACATGGTCCGGGGTTCGATCCCCAGCCATAGACGCACTCCTTTACCTCACTAAGCCAGTAATTAAAAGAAGCTGGTAAAGAGCGAAGGTTGGGCATGAGGCTAGCAACCCCATCCTGTAAAAATAATCACCACTGCTACAGAAACTTCAAGCCTCTAGTTTGAAGCCCTATGTTCTACTGGGAACGCAAAGGAACAAAAAAAGAGTTCATGGACTGGCCACTGAATCGGGTCCCAGTGGCTGAATGGTATACGAGTTTGCCCTGTAACCGGAAGGTCCTGGGTTCGAACCTTGGCGGTGAGTCCCAAACTAGGACGAAACAGTTGTTCAGTACCCCCTGATATCAATCCGTGGTCTAACCAAATCAAATCCTTAGAAATAAACTCTTGACCATAATTAACAGCTATACGGTCAGTGAGCAGTTGAGAAGAATAACCCGAAGAGGACACGTTTTCTTGTTTAGAAACGAGAAATAATAACATACATAAAAAGAGGTGATTAAGTGCGTTATCATGCAGTAAGGAATGCATTTCTTTTTACATGCCACATAAACTATACTACAACTAATAGTATAAAATAAGAAAATATAATATGCACCTCTCCACCTAAATGTAAAACTGGAACAATATTACGCGTAGCTTTAGGCGGTTCAGCTGTTACTCGAATATTTGCAATTGCCCGACATTTAGATACATTTTTAGCTACACGACATAAACGTAGGCCAGCATAGGAACGTGCACGTGCTGATCGATGCGGTGATGTACTATAACTCGGTGGTGATGGAGAGCCTGACATCGTTCCAGCATATACACCAGGAGTTGATGAAGACAATGCAGCCCCAGCAGTCATAACATCATCTGAAGGTGTTGATGCACCACCCGTCTCAGAACTTACAGGACTTGTAGCTACAATTAAATTGCGTAATGCTTCATCATCCATTGTCTGTGGACCGCCTAAACTTGCACGTCTTGCACGTCGACGTTCTAAAAAATTAGCTGTAGTAGAAGCATTTAATATTAGAGCGGGATCGATTTCTGGATCTGGTTCATAAGTGGCTAATCTTAACGGGGTATGATGTTCATTGTCCGGTTTCATTTCAGTAGGCTTTTTTAATGAATCTATCGCCTTTGTTTCATGTTTCAGTGGTGATTTGTCCATACTGTTACTACTTGATCTCCGTGAATTAGATCTTGATTTGATCTTCAAAGACAAAATTTGTAAGGGAAAGAAGAAGCGATTCAAAATGTAAGAAAATAGACACAAACTACTTTGTAAATATTTTACAAAGAAATAATAGACGATGAAGGATCCTTTTCCCATCTACATACGACAGCTCCCACAAACGACCTATTATGAGGCCGAGAGCGGGTAGACATCGGTCTTCCTCTCTAAATGAATGCTCTCATATCGCCACACGTCCACAATCCCTCTTCTCTACCAGGTAAGTCCTATTCACTGCTTTCACGTCACGGTGGGATGTTCCTCACAAAAGTAAAAGGAAGAAGGCGAACATCTGGCGCTTCCAACCGGATCGGTGGACATACAACTCTACCTAGATGAGCTAGATAACTCTGACTCTACACCATAAGGACGCAGCTTCTGACACTCCTTTGCTACCTTGTTGAACGTTCTTCAAGACAAAGGCTCAAGATGAAGTGGTCTCTTAAGACAACCACCTGCTTCGACCAGTTCCCGTTAACATCATTCTCATGAAACAGACTATAAACCTTCCAATTATAATGTGAGGACTAATGATAATACTCAGTTGCCCTCCTTCACCCCAGATGAAGCGGAATTCAGACCAATAACCCATTGGCATAAAGGCCGAGTGCTTAGAACAATCATCAATGAGCTGTATCTGAACCCCTTTGTATCACTTGTAGCCTGATACATGAAGTATCCGACTCGAATAACTTTCATTAACAACAAACAAATTGTTGAGATTATCTGTAACAAAAGTTTCCCAAAACTGAAACCAACAGACTATCAGGGAGTGGGGCAGAAATGAAACCGTCACATAAAAAAATGATGGAAACCTCTTAACATCTGTAATATTCATGGCAATTGTGACAAAACAAAATTTCTGAAAGAAATTCAAATGAAGGATGAATCATCGATAGCCTGAAATATTCCTCAAAATAGGTTAATCTCTTGGAAAAAAGCTGACTTCATAAGCCATCCAAACACACACTGACTGACTAATTTCAACGTAGAACTTTGCACCGATGTGCGGCAGTTCAAGTCGTTACACTTCACTTAGCACACAAAGCAAGAGGAGGAAGTTAAAAAGAAATGCAAAACTAAGACAGTAAACACACACACATATATATACGGGATATGAGTTGAACTATAATCTTGACACAAATAATGTCTTATGTTATCCACTAGGCGAACGGCAGAAGTCATGGGAAGGAGGCCGTGATCGATTGCCAGTCAGCGAACTCTTAAACATCTCGCCTAGTTTACTACTTGATAGTGATCCCGGAAAAGAAGAAAGTTTTGGTGTAGAGTTAGCGAACACACCTCATCCCCTCTTCCGTAAGAAATTAACGCTGATACTGAAACTTTTTCAAATGCTCGAAACCCAGTGTTCCATTCGTAAACAGGAAAAACTGTCCTATGTGATATGACAGCAAACGCTGACTAGCATACTACTGTCAGGTGTGTGGAACTAACACACAAAAAAAAATACACTGACCGCTAATCATAATATCAACACGACCACAACAAATAATACCACCCGTAGACGGAACTTTCAAATTTCTCGAAATAAATACATAAAGTTTGAATAATCCTGACGAACACCAAAATCCACTGATAAGTTTAAAGAGTTAACAACACCCTGCGAGAGTTCAATCCTCACAAAAAGTGTTCAATGAAAAAGAAACGGCGCCAAAAGTGCGCGATAACTACGAACATTAGTTATTTTAAGGTTTCTGGGAGCTAACGTCAGGTAGAAATTAAGCGGAGGGATAAATGATATAGTGAAAATGAATAACCTTTAAAAATGCCAGATATACATATATATTTATAGCTTAGTCACTATTAGTGAATCTTATTTGAACTTACTTTAGGCGGATTTGAATTGGCGGCTGAAATAAATTGCGCTACATACGTGATAATTGAACGTTCATCAGGTTTATCTACATCAACATCTAAAACAATAAGGTTTTAAACAATTACAAGTTAAATATCGTCGATAAGAAATAAACTACTTATTTATAATAATAATAATAACAGTCAGATACAATCATATCTCAAGATGACAATTTTGTGATTATTATTCCTTCAGGTTCCGAGTGGAACATAGGGCTGCAGCAGCACATTTCCATTTCATCCTGTACACTGATGTCTATTTTTAGCTGGCTTCACGATTGTCAATAGGCTCTCATCTCCTCCACCTCACACAACCTCCTCTATCTCACCCTCGGACTAACGCCTAATTCGTCGATTCGCATCCAGCTTCCAAATGAGGACCTGCCTGGCACGTTGTATCACTCAACGGTCTCCTCAGCATATCTCCAATCCTTTGATTCTTCTATGTATTAGTTTAACGAGAATTTCGTCTTTGGTTGGTTTTCAATGTCTCTTGTTGCTTACACTTCCTGACGGGTCGAAATGATCTTCAGTCAAGAGACAGCTATTGATGAAAGTGTGCAGTAGCCTGTTGGGAATACTATTCGTGATACGCGCCTCCCTCACCCTCCCAAGTCTCTGAACCATATAAAAGCGACAACTTGATTGACACTGGTAGCAAAGATCCGGATCTTGTTCCTGATGCTGAGTGCAGCAGATTTCCAGACTGATTTCAGAGTAATGAAGGTCTTATAAAAAGAAAAGACGTTCAGCGAATAGTTACTCTTTTCAGCGATATCATTCTCAAAGCTGTATATATATACAGTAAATTATCTTAGCAAAAAAGGAATATTTCCAGAGATGTGTCATTAGAATTGTGAATTCTAGATAAAAAATTATGTAATATAAAAACTTTTGGTTACAGGATTTCATCATGAGCTGGCATTGGTTAGAGAACCATTGGAAAACCAATCAAATCGCTACAAACTAATACTTGAATATCGATGAGATGCTCACTGGCGACTGGCCGTATTCAGGTAGGTAGTTACCTGGGTTCTAGTAAGACGTCGTGACCATTGGGGTACAGCCAGTCGAGTGTGAGGACAAATGCTCACCGATGACATTGGTTAGCGGTCGCGCTATATTGTGAATTGGCAGAAGTTAGAATTCATGGAATGGCCATTGGATAGGGGTCCCAGTAGTGGCTTAATGGTCTACGAGCTCGCTAGCCTTGTAACCAGAACGTCCTGGGGTTCGAACCGTGGCGGTGGGTGCGTACTGATGAAGAGTCCCAAACTAGGACGAAACAGCTGTCCAGTACTCCGTGGAGGTTTTCCAATGGTTCTCTAACCAATGTCAGCACATGATGAAATCCTGTAAGCAATCGATTAAACCCCTACAAACCAATACTTCAATAAAAACTTTTATTCGGGTAGGAATTGAAATAAAACTATATAAGTAAATTGAGTGACGTAATATAATTGACAGGGTTGAGTAGAATTCTACTAAAATTGAATGACAGTCAAGTTAACACCAATGGCAATTCACATGTTTTAAAACCTAAACTCTGCATACAAATGAAATTTGTTCAGTCACTAAATCTACAATGGACCTAATCTGTTTTAACACTGGATTTTGGTTTTTAGTCTTTTTTTATTTGTATTATTTTCTCCCCTCACCCCCTATAATTTCTACACTTAATACCACTGTTGTCAAGTTGACTCTTGAATTCTACTCAATCCTGTCAATTATATTAAGTCGTTCAGCCTACTTATTTAATTTTATTTAAGTTTCTACCCGATTAAAGACTTTTAGAACAAGACATATAAGTGAACAATATTGTTGTTTTTCAATTAGATCTTCTTCAGACTTTACTCTAATTTATATAGATTTATCAAAACAACGTTTTAACTAATAACGGTGAATTTGAGGATCAAATAATAATAATAATGTGCTAAATCTTTTGAACTTTGTTAATAACGATGATTATAATGATTACAAAATATTGATAAGGTATATGCAGGTGGCGATATGAATAACACAGGTAGTAATATGTAGATAGAACAATAATATGACGTAATCTGTCTGAATCGTGTTGCAATGTAGTATTTGCGCAACACATTTCGAACAATCTCATCATCACATACGGACTTGTCATAGGAATATATATGAAATTAATAAAGAGTTAAGAGGTGAGAAAATAGCCCACTTAGGACAAGTTAAAAGGACATACTGAAGGTCAAAATAACAATGAAGATCACTAAACCAAATAAAAGAGGTAAAGTATATCTACACTGGCTGATATCAAAACCAAGTTTACCAAGGAAGGTTTAGACACACTTAATGAAGAAGAAAGAAAGTTGACACTAACTGTGGTTGATAACAATTATCCAGACAAGTTCATCAGGAGAATTAAAGTAGTCAGAACACCAAGACCTACTCTATAACTTGCCCCTAAGAAAGACGTGTACATCAAGCTACCCTATATGGGGCATCATAGCAGCTTGGTAACTAGACAGAGACTGAACGCTGCAGTTTAGAAGACTTTACAAGACTGCAAGTGAGGGCTGGCTTCAGAGCATATTCCTAAATGGCTCCAGAAACAAATAGAATTTTCAGAACCCATTAATGGTGATAACAGGAGACCTAGCTCCTCCATTACGAAATATATTATAGAGAGAGGACATAAAATTAACGTTAACAGATCTTTTAAACCTATCTATAAAACGTGTTTGGGGCGTATCCTAAAGTTTGTGGAAGCCCTAGCTAGCAATTAGGAAGTTTAAACCACCTTTATGCGTTCAAAGCAACAATTCGTCATCACACTAAACCTTCCTTGGTAAACTTTGTTTTGATATCAGCCAGTGTAGATATACTTTACCTCTTTTATTTGGTTTAGTGATCTTCATTGTTATTTTGACCTTCAGTATGTCCTTTTAACTTGACCTAAGTGGGTTATTTTCTCACCTCTTAACTCTTTATTAATTTCACATATATTCCTATGACAAGTCCGTATGTGATGATGAGATTGTTCGAGATGTGTTGTGCAAATACACCGCAACACGATTCAGACAAATTAGGTCTTCTTATTGCTTTATCTAAATTCATAAAGGGAACTAATTGTTTTAAAGTAGAAATATGTGTATATGTAGACAATTCAATAAATAAATAAATTAAGTCAAATCTTAAACGTTACGCAATACTAAAGGTGAAGTGGACAGATAATCAGAGTTTAAATGAATATCATAAAAGTATGAAAGAAAAGGAAAATAAGAAAGGGTGGGAAGGTTTTGAATAGAATTCACTTAGGCAAGAAAGGAGAGACGAAGGTAGAACAAACTTCTTTTGTATGCAAAGACTAGGATTGTTCTCTCGTAATATTGTTATCTAAAGAAATTTAAAGTTCGAATGACACATTTTTTTAGAAATATTCTCTGTGTTGCTAAGATAATTTACTATACATATATATATATATGCAACTGTACAGCTTGAGAATGATATCGCCGAAAAAAGGAACTCTTTGCCGAATGCCTTTTCTTTTATATGACTCAATGGAGATTTTTAAGTTGCTTAATGAAGGTTTGTTTTTCTGACTTTTCCGATCCGATCATGGCTGGCTTTTACATTTTTATTGATATAAGTATAAAACTTGGGCACTGTGGTAGAGTGTAAGATTTTATTTTGCTAAATCACACTCTGTTATACAGTAATATTAACTGATGTGACCACGTTTCGAGCACAAACTATTGCCACTCATAATCATATCAAGTCACTCACTCACACAACTTTTTCCCTTCATTTATATACATGAGTGAAATTGATGAATCGACATTTGAATACAAATCAATATAGGATAATGTAAATTGGGAAATAATAATATGATTGTTACTGATCAATAACAATCAGATGGGAAATGAGACGAGTGTTTTTATAGTCAAAATAAATAAGTAACTTGTTAGAATGTTGTGATGTGCTTGAATTGAAATAGTATTTTAAGATTATTTGTTATCCTCCTCTGATTTGACTGACTGGTGGTAATAATATCTTCCATATTTCTCATATTTGTGTTGAGTCATTTCTGTTGCATGTGTTGGGTGTCACATTTTCATCTGTGACGCCACCACCGCCTGTAGTTGAAAAAGTGCTGCCTCATTCAAGTGATGATAAATTCATCGTGTCCTGTCTTCTGAAGACCACTTTTATTATTTGTCTCAAAAATGGAATTAATTTCCAGATGATTTCATTGCCTCGATAAAGGTATCCAGTCAGTATTACCATTCATACTATGATTATTATTATTATTTCATTCAACTCCTAGAGGAACATAGGGCTTCAGCCGTGCGTCTACATTGCGTTCGGTTCTCTGCTAAAGTTTTCGCCTGGCTCCAGGTCTGCCCACATGCTTTCATCTCTTCACACGACCTCCTCCAAGTCACCCTTGGACGACCAACTCGCCGCTTCCCTTTCGGGTACCACTCGAGCAATGGCTTGTCTAGTGGTGTCACTTGATGGTTACCTCAAAGTATGGCCAATCTATCTCCATTTCTTCCTGCCTATTTGTTTCACAATCTGTTCCTGCTGAGTTGGTTCGCTCATTGCCAGAGATCTCTGTTGCTGATCTTTTCTGGCCGGCCATCTGATCTTGAGTATTGAGCGAAGACAACTGTTAATGAAGGTTTGTAGTTTGTTTGAGATGCTCTTCATGACGCGCAGTGCAAGTCTCTGATCCGTAAAGTAGCACTGACTTCACATTGGAGTTGAAAATCCGGATCTTATCTTCGTTTTGATGCTGAGTGCTGTTGACCTCCACACCGACTTGAGAGTGATGAAAGCTTGCCTTGCTTTCCCGATCCTTGCTTTGATTTACTCGTCGGTTCCGCCTGTAGTTGAAACGATGCTTCCCAGGTAGGTAAGTGGGTAAAGGAGGTTGTTTCTTTCAGGTTCCTCCCATTTATGCTGATCCTATGATAGTCTTGACTAACCAACCAATACCTATGGTTGATTTGAATCATTGACAATCTGAAAGGAATTACTGTAGAACTTATCTGAGTGGTCTTACAACAAAGGTGTAAACTAAACTGAACTAAACATACAATCATGAAAATTATTTCATCAGTACCACACACGCGCACATGTGCAAATATTATCATCCACTCTTACCTTCTGCATCCAATAATCTTGGTATACCCAATCTTTGCTCGGCTACACTGAATGCATATTCTAAATTTTCACGATTTTTACGACATTTATTAACCTGTTCCATGTCAATAAGACTTGGATTAATGTTATGCACCAATGCACAGAAGGCTTTACCATCACGCCAACTTGAAGCAAAGTCTGTCACTCGAATTTCCAGTGTTCTATATTATAACACATAAAAGTACAAAATAAAATGTGTTTTAGAACAAAAATAAACTAAGCAGAAATGCATAAAACTGCACACTACTGAATGATTGAGATGAGTAGTTTATATACCAACTCACATCAACCTGTAGTAGCTGCTAGTCAGTCAGTCAGATCGAACACCGTTTGACGGTCGTTTCGCTGGTCTGGGGGCAAGTCTGTCAGTGATGTAGTTGGTTCCACTCTGCTCAGAGAATCGAATCAGTTCAAATGATGTGAATCCTGACTAGCCAATTGAGCGGATTGGTCATAAATGGAATCAAATCTGAACCGATTCGACTCTCTCTCTCTCTCTCTGAGTTTAGCAAAATGAAATATGGGGCTCAGAGATTGCATCTCAACAAGTTTTCCTTCACCAGTCCAGGAATTTGTACCAGCCGCTTCACTTAGCGATTGAGAATGATATGGAGAATTTATCATATCTATTTTCAGCTCCATCTATTCAGTAGGATCCATTTGAGGCGACTGTTGTTATCATAACGTGTTTAATCCCTATTTGTGATCGTGTCACTTGTTATAATTCGACCCTCGACTGGAAACAATTCTGAAACTTTCCCAACCCGCTACTATATATGTATGAATATACACGAACGTAGAGCCTAGCCTATGACTTCGTTGAGAAGAAAATTTCCTTCTTCTTCTTAGCTAAAACCATCTTTTGAATTTGATAACGGAAAAGTCAACTTCCCGAATGTGCATAGGACTTAAAATTGTTCAAAAAAATAATACCCCGACCACTGTCCGTCTCCCATAGATGAAATAATAAAAACTCTATCATATAGTCTTTGTGTATGTGGCACCTCACTAGTGTTTATTCGAATCCCTTTCTTACATTCTAACATTATGTGGGACAGACTGCTGAGATCTAGAGAATGTCATTTAAAATAGGCGATTACAATTACGCAACAGAGTGGAAATCATGTAATCACAAAAAAAGGAACCAAACTATGAGGAATTTCAAAAACTTCAACTTTGAACAGGTAATTATGCTGAATAACGAATGTTACGACGAACAAGCTTCTCTGTTGTTAGCCGTGAAGTCACGATTTATTCATCCGCTGACACGACAACTTGATTGGACAGTTCTGATTCGTCTACTTATGGCTTAACTTTCTGAGGGGTATGATGTCATACTATGGTGAGAGCTTTCTGATAACCCAAATTGGTAGACAGTAATTTACGTCAGTCAGTAAGACGTTCTATGCAGCAAAATTACATATGACATTCACCAGCCGCAAGTTGTTCTCTACCTCTATAAAAGATAAGCTACCCCGCCTGGCCGCCTCTATGTGCATCTATCAGTTCACCTGCTCTTGTGGAGCTAGGTACATTGGCCGTAGTCAGAGGACGCTTTCCACACGGATACCAGAACATATTCCAGCTTGGTTTTATAAAGGAGAAAGGAAGTGTGTGAGAAGCTCTATTTTGGAACACCTGATCGACTTCTGTCACTCTGTTAACCCTGACCATGATTTTAAGATCATATATAGAATCCATGCTAACTTCCCGCGTACTATTCGTTACAGACTTCTGAAGACAGCTGAGGCCTTGGCAATTCATGACTTTAAGCCAGACCTCTGTGTACAAAAGAAGTATGTACAATCCCTACTTCTCCCTTGGCCGTAGAGGGATAGACATTTATTTATTTTGTTTATTTAGTTATTCCATGTACTCTTCCCTTATTACTATTATTATTATCACTATTATTATTACTATTCTCACTCTGAATCTTTTTCACTTGACCCACTTGACATTTTAAACCTAAGATTATTAATTTTTATATTTTTTACAATATTGAATTCTGTCTTATCAAATTTCACACCATGTTACGCAACATTTTATATTCGTCTACTAATCTTATAATTACGTACCCTTTTCCAAAATCTATACACCTTATGTATTATTCTATATACGACATTAATTATTGTGCCACTTGACATTAAACTATGACTATAATCACAAATATTTTAATTGCATTTCATACTATTATTATTTCATGTATTCACAACTTTGACCAAATTCCCTCACCGGATATAATTTCTTAAAAAACCATATATATACGATTGTACAGCTTGATAATAAATTCGTTGAAAAGAGTCTCTTCGCTGAATATTGTGTTCTTAATTTACGTCAATGTTTACGTCCCATATCTTGGTCATGAGAAAAACCAAAAACAAAGACAAACTACTCAACAACCAATAACAGAAGACTTTGTGTGGGCGGATGCGATTCGCAGCTATGTGGTCTGACCTTCAAAGAAACGCTCACAAAGAGATGACAGAATAACTTTCGGCGAGAAAACAACCAATTGAAAGACGCTGTTTCTCTGCTAATAATAATGTACATAAAAATCTATAAATATTTGTTGATACTCTGTCGTTACAATACGACCAATCAGATTTCTGTCTTTAATGGCTTATATTTCCGAGGTCTTGTAAATATATGACAGATTGTGTATTTTGTCCAGTGAGCTTTGTCTCGGCTGCTTTTTGCTGCTGTCGGTTGTCTTCATCTATCCCAATCTAACTTTCGTGTCGATCTCACTCAGTCTGAGGGATATATACAAGTGATCAGATGTTTATAGTGTCGTGTCTCAAGAAGCATTCTAGTCAAGTTAAACTGTAACAACAGAAGACAAGGGTCAGGCAACAGATCGTTTCTTTACGAAATCAACATATATTCATAGATTTTCATGTACATTATTATAGATTATGTGCGTCGGTGGCACAGCGGTAGAGTGCTCGCCGACCACGCAGGTGGTCCGGGGTTCGATCCCCGGCCGACGCACTCCTCTACCTCGCTGTGCTAGTAACAAAACTGGTAAAGAGGGAAGGTTGGGCATGAGGCTAGCAACCCCATCCTGTAAAAATAAACACCACTGCTACAGAAACTTCAAGCTAGAGGCTTGAAGCCCTATGTTCCCCTGGGAACGTAAAGGAATGAAAAATATTATAGATTATTGTTAGCAGACAAACACAGTTTTCTGGTTGGCTGTTTCTCACTAAAAGTTAATCCTTCATCTCTTTGTGACTGTTTCTTGAATGTCAGATCATCTATATGCAAAATCTGCTGTGGTTGGTTGTTGAATCAGTCTTTGTTCATATTTTTCACACGACCAATATTGGGGACATAAACATTGACGCAAAATACTGTCTACCAATTTTGGCTAGTAGCCAGCTCTCACCACAAAACGACCATTACAATCTAGTAACACTACGTGAAGGGGATGGGATTCTAGACCCCCACATGGGGAAACCACCCAACTCACATTTATAACTCCAATCTTTTTTTAGTCATACTTGCCAGACTGTATTACACTGCCTGATTGCTGATAAGGTGGAAGTGAATGAAATGACGTGACATCTAAATTTCAACAGAAAAAAAACTTACGATTTATGCGATCGAAAGGATTGTTCCAACCAACTTAATAATGTTTGTCGAGTTTTAGACCCTGTTTCACTTTTAACACTATCCGTCTGCTCAGATAGGCTAGTATCTCCAGAATGACCACCACCACCACCGCCATTAGTTGACTCAGCATCAATAGACTTCGACAGACTTTTACGACGAGATTTTAAAGCCTGTCTTAAAACTTTCTGTTGACCATGAATCTGCAGAGAAGGAAACAAGAAATCGATATTTCAATTAAATTCTCTTTTCAAAATCAAAATGGATGTCTTCTGCATAAAGTTCTCATTATTATTAGAAACTGACTGACTGAACTTACGCCTGTTAAAAAAAATCGTGGATACTTAGTCAATTCAATGTTCCACTTGTAAAAGCAATTGAAACTTACACCTATCCATAAATCCTTATCAACGGGAACTGGGATTTCAACGAATGAAATTCATACTTGACAGAAGACTGGAGAACATGGTTATATTCATTCGTCAAAGAAATCCAAGTTGCTGTTGACAGAGTAAAGGATCACCAACTGAGTTCGTCCAATCTTCTGTCAAAGCTTCGTTTTGAATTATGTGTTCTCGATTACATCACATAGGGATATGGATCATTTGTAGATTATTTTCCTAAAACTGACTGACTGATCGGTTGAGTTTTAACACAGAATTTTGCACAGAAAGTGTACCAGTTCAAGGTGCCACACTCCTCGTATCACACGAAAGTAGAACTAAAGAGATTTCAAACCGCTATAACAAGCACAAATGTGACAGAGAAAGAATAATAACACAGAAAAACACTAGAGTTTAGTAGATGTAGGAGATTACAGAGAGTGAATACACTTGAGACACTGAGAACGATTTTGAGCTATATCGCCAATAGTTTGAAAGCTATTGCTTCTTGCCATCCCGAAGATTTTAACCAACCGGACAGCCTACACCTCCCTATATGACTCAAACTAACTATCGCTGATTTCATGGAGTGATGACAGATTTTGATTTGACCACATCTAATTCCTTTTCGACTTGATCCTATACCAGCTAACAATTCCCGTTGGGGAAGGTGATGCCTAGGCATTCGATTTAATTACCCTCCGTACCTAACCATCAATTCTTAAACTCATTATTACTCACTATATTCTACAAATTAATCGGGGAGGTGGTACGCAGACACCTGTTATCAAGGACGGCTAGATGACATTTACATGCCTTCCACTTTCAATAGCCATGTCTCACTACTCATAGCCATAATAGGGGATAGAGCGAACTGCTGGGCAGTACACGTGTCTTTTGATCAACAGCCAACCGGATACGACGTCTGCGCCTGAGATGACAAAAGTATCAGTAATTAGTCCGTTGAATGACTGAGTGGTAAAGAACTCCAGAAAAAACGAAGATAAAAAGCGTGTCTTACAACACAGAATTCTTGGTTTTGTTCGAAGAGTGATCATTAAAAAAATATCTGAAGTAATTCACCTACTGATTATTCTCATTTCCAATCCGTTGGTCTACCATTATTACATAGTGTATTATCTACTCACTTCATTTGAAAGTAGTATATACTTTACACCATAAGTAATCTTGTGTTAAATAATAGAAGTAGAAACAAATCAAAAAAAATCTTCGAAGAAAAACTAATGCCGTTTTCATTTTACCACACCTGTATAATACGGTCAGTTAGCAGTCGGTTAGTTGCTTTACTAATTATTTTATCAATAAAAGTGGAAATTACGAACAAAGTTTTACAGTCCAGTCCAGTCCAGTCAGGTTCTTGTGTTGTTTGTTCTAATATGACGATGGAAAAAGGAGTAAAGACAAATCCACGCACACAGAAACTACCGACGTATATTTGTACACATCAATTAACAAATCGGTTGACTTAAGTGTGATAAGTTGTTTGTATCATAATATTAACCACCTGACTACCTAACTAACTACCCACTTACCTAGTCCCTCCCATTCTCACCAACCCATACAGCATCAGCGTCACTACCACCACCAACAACAACAACCGTCGTCCACACACTACACAAATATTTGACAAGCATATCCTAATCTTTGTTAATTGGCATGCTTCATTTACAGCGTGCGCGAGCGCACTAGCTAGTTAGCTTGCTACCTCTGTATAGATCACATGTTTATTGAACAGTCGACGTAACAAAATCTCTATATTCTCTGAACTGGTCTTCAAACAAAACAAGTTTGTTTTAAAAACGTATAACAGAATAAGTATTCAATTTGTTGTGTTTTTTTTTACTAATTGGTTGAGTTAATTCAGTCATGGCCGGGGGGAAGTAGTAATGTAACAAGTCAAACTTTATTTTTCTATCGGTAAACTTCTGTGTATAGGACAGTTTTCAAGGGTATTATTCATTTTACACTTTTTGATCACAAGGTGATATCAGTTAGAGAACCTTTGGAAAATCAAAGAGTAATTGACAGCTGCTTCGTCCTGCTTTGAGGCTCTTCAACAATACTCACACACCTGGGTTCAAGCCCAGGACCTTTCGGTTATGAGGACAGCTGGTGGATTATTCAGCCATCGGGACCCGGTCCAATAGCCAGTCCATGAATTCCAGCTTGTCAATTCGCGAGATATATAGTACAACCACCAGTCAATGTTATCGGCGAATAAATGATCTCCCACCTGATAAGGATCGGGTCCAGTGGATGAATTATCTATGTGATTGCCTTGTAATTGGAAGATTCTGGTTTCAATCCCCGGTGGGTGCGTAATGCTGAATATGAGTCCCAAACTAGGAAGAAACAGCTGTCCAGTACTCCCTAACGGTTTCCCAATGCTTCTGTAACAAACGTCAGCTCGTGATCAAACTGAATAACAAATCAAAGTCAGTTAGGGACCACTAGGAGATATAAGAGCACTGGACAGCCGTTTCATCCGAGTCTGGAATCTTCTTCACCAGTGTGCACCAAGATCTTCAGATTACTAGCCCAAGCTCACTGACTACTTAGGTTGGAGTTCATTGACCAGTGAACTCTAACTTCTGTGGATTTTCTCGGCTAGATCCCCGGTGGAGGTGGAGGCGCAAACTGGTGAGGAGTCCCTCTGTAGGAGGAAACAGCCATTTTGCCGTTCCCCTCCCTAAGTCTCAATGTTTTCTAACTCACATTGGTTTGTTACAAAATCTCCTTTGAAATTAATCTGAATTCTTATAATAAAAACCAATAATGATTTGGCATCTTAAAAATGATCCAAGACTGAGACGACAGAATGAATTAACATTTACTGTAATGTTGTACATCCTACATTAACATCATCAAGCACACTATACAGTGAGGTGGATTGGCGTTTTATCTCAAACAAATATTCACATTGAAGGTGAATTCCTCGATATATTTCTACCCAGGAAGGTTGTTTTACGCGGACTTTTTAATTTTCTTTTGATAAATAATAGCTAAGGAAGGATGGAACTTCAAACGTGCGCTTCGTCCACATTTCAACACACCTCATCCCTGGATGTGCATGTACAAGTGATGGTGATCCGGGATTCTAACATAAGCCACCATGAAACCAAAAAACAAACATCATGTTAACCCTAAGACATCGTTACAGCATCTCTAGTAAAAGCCAACAAGTCAAACGAAGAACACGTGCTCCAGCTCAATATGAATCAATAATAATCGGAGAGAAATTCAGAAACCATCATTCCATTAAGTAACGCAGAATCAGTATCCCAAATGAAATGCTGGTTCATAAATGAAATGGAGAAGTAATCAAAAAAAAATCAGATTCAACCAAGATATCTTTACAATGAGTTTTGAAAATGAATGGGGAACAATACTTTGTGCCAAAACGCAAGTATTTCGAATGGACCTACAGCAATTCTGGCTGTTCTTTAGAGCTGTACAATAATAGATAGACTGGCCAACTGAATAATGGTTTGATACAGAATAAGAAACAGAAATGCATCAATTCGCCAGGTTCAGCTACACACGTCACGGATGACAGCAGAGTCAAGATCGCAGAGACAAGATAGATATTCGTTACTCTGAAATCAGTGTGGAAATCTGCTACAATCAACATAAACAAGACGATTAGGATTTTCGACACTAATTCAAACTTACAAAGAAAAGACACTTAAGTCAATCCAAGAACTGGAGCGGCATTATGCTCCTATCCATCCCCAGCAAAATATTAGGCCGTATCTTCCTGGAGAGAATCAAACATGCCCTGGATGGAAAACTTCGACCTGAACAGGCTGAATTCAGGAGAAACAAGTCATGCATCGATCAAATCGCAACACTACGGATTATCATTGAAAAGAGCTTGGAATGGCAGTCACCTCTCAACTCAACTTCATCAACTTTGAAAAGGCGTTCAACAGCGTCGATTGAGAGGCCATTTGGCAACTACTTCGCTACTACAGGGTGCTGCCAACAATAACAGACGTCATCCAATAGTTGTATGATAATACTGTATGCCAAGTAATCCACAACGAGAAACTCTCGGGATCCTTCGAAGTGAAGACGGAAGTAAGACAAGCTGGCTGGCTGCCTACTATCTCCAATGATTTTCCTGATTGCGGTAGACTGGATAATGCGACGGAGAGCGGACAACGACTAGACAGGTCATAAATGCACCCACACAAAACACTTAGAGGATCTGGACTTCGCCACTGATATGAATTTGATTTCCCACAAACTGGAAGATATGCAAATGGAAAGCAACAAGTTGACAGAAGAAGCATCAAAGATAGGACTTCCTTCAGGTAGACATAGAGAAAACGCAGGTGATGGAGATTCCTGGTGAACAACAACAACAGACAACAATCAGCCAGCATAAATGGGAGAAATCTGAGAGAAGCAACCTACTTTACCTTCCTATCTGGGAAGCATCGTTTCAATTACAGGCCGACGGAACTGATGGGAATACCAAAGCAGCCAGGATCGCGAAAGCGAGACAAGCTTTCATTAGTCTCATTTCTGTGTGGAGGAGATCAACAACACTCAGCATGAAAAGTGAAATCCGGATTTTCAACTCCAATGTGAAGTCAGTGCTACTGAATCCATGGATCAGACACTTAGCGCCGCGTCACGAAGGCCACTTCGAACAAACCACAAAACCTTCATCAACAGCTGTTTTCACTCAATACTACTCAAGATCAGATGGCCAGTCAGAAAAAATCAATATCAGGGAGGGATCTCTAGCAATGAACGAACCAACCCAGTGGGAACCGATTGTGCAACAAATATGCAGAAAGAAATGGAGGTGGATTGGTCACACTGAGAGAACAAACCATCAAGTGAGTGACACACACACGCCAGGCCATCGCTTGAGTGGAACCCCGCTGAATGGGAAGTAGTGAGCTGGTCGTCAGTGGGTGGGTAGGGTGACATGGAGGAGGTCATGTGGAGACGAGATGAAAGTATGTGGGCAGACATGGAGCCAGGTGAAAACGTTGGCAGAGAACCGAACACAATGGAGACATTTGGCTGAAGCCCTATCTTCTTCTAGTAACTAAAGGAAACAATCATAGTAATGTCAAATCAGTCAGTGGCTCTCCATGATTCCGAGAGCTGCCACGTGCCACCTCTCCAACACACCACTGAATTCTTCCATCAATAGCTGTCCCCTTCACTGAGTAAATACTGAATATCAGATAGCCAATCAGAAAGGATTAGCAACCGAGAACACTGCAGTGCAGTGAAATAACTAAAAACCTATTGCATAAACAAAAAAATGTTCCGAAGGAAATGCAAGTGAATAAGACACTCTGAGAAGAGACTGCTGAATGACACTGCACACTAGATAGGTCATCTCTCAAGTGAAATCTGAAAGGGAAACAACGACTAGAGAGGGTGTGAGTCCGAGGGTGTTTGGAAGAGGCAAAACACATGCAATTATCGAGTTATTATCGCGTTATTAACAAGTCGTTGACATGCAATTGTTCCTGCTTCTGACTGGACGCTTGCACAATCCAAACTCTCAACCTGATTGGTTGATTTCCAGTCTACCTTATTTTCTGTATAAATACAGTCACTTTTGTCATAATAAATGAACCTGGTTTCACAGTTGATTCTCTTCGTGTTCTGCTTTACCAGTTAAGTGGGTACTGGCCAGTAGTTAAGCAGTGACCGCGTGACAAAGGATCCAGCATCATAACAGAGGGTGACATGCAGGAGATCATATGAGGCAGTGCAGATGAGAGCTCATAGTCAACCGTAGGCGCAACTAAAGACGACTTCAGAGATGATGAAATGGAGACGTTCTGTGAAGCCTTATGTTCCACTCGAAACCCAAGGGAATAATAATAATAGTAATATTAATATATGACAATAATATGATTGCAAAACAGGTTTTAACCGCTTACTTGAAAAAATAATATGATTGACCAGATAAGGCCTAAAACGATAGCCGGTTTCCCGTCGACTACATCTGAGGGATTAATATTTACAAGTTTTATCTATAGAAATCAATTATAAAAGGAAATGGAAAAGAAGGAGAACTTCAATGTTGTAATCGTTTACAAAAAGAAGGGGAACAAAAAATTCAATATATTCGATAGAATGATCATGTTCAAGTGGTTAGTTTGTTGAGATTTGATTTGTTTCAACTCTGATTATGGATCGACAACCTGCAGGGCGTACTGGAAAGCGGATTTGTCCTTGTTTGGGAGTTCTCTTCATCAGTGGGTTCCCATGACCCCAACATATCAGGAATGACTGAAATAACCACAAGATTACAACAACCAGTAATCACCTACTATGTACAGTTCTCAAGCGTACTTATTCTAACCAGCTCTCCAAGTCACTTCACAGTTGCTCAATGTTCCTGTTAGCCTAGTTCTTGTACATAGTAGTCCACTTAAAAAAAGCAAGCGTTAGGTTGAAAACTCAAAGGCTAATAATGTAAAATCATATTTACACAAGTGTTGAATTGCGTCAGTTAGTTCACTGGTGGAATGCTCTCGAGGCACGTGGGAACTCAAATTCGATTCCAGATCGACGCACTTCTAAAGCTGACCTAGTCCGATAGCAATCGGGTGAAAAAGGCAGGGGGGTGGAAGTGAGGCTAGTAACCCCACCGCTACTGAAATTCTAAATTTTGAAGTCATATTCTCCACTAAGAAAGCAAAGAATGAGAAAACAGCCACAAGTTTTGTTTTCAAGTGTTGGTTAGTACGGATTGGATGTATTCCAAGATCGAGATCACGTTACGAACCAACACATTATTTACAAAACCATTGGTTACATGCGTTCTCCTAATTTAGGAGTCATCCAGTAGTTCACATGGGACTGAATGCCAACTTGGTGTGACTGAGCCTATGTTTCATCTCATGTGGGATAAAAGAGCGGCAAAATATGTTGAAGAGTCCCACAGTAGGACGAAACACCATCCTAGTAATGGTCTGTCCAACTAATAGTTCACTACGAAATCTACTTTAAAAAGTCCACTTATTCAATCTTGTTAAACATTAACATTATCAGAATGGGAACCACTTGAATATGATTAAAAGTAATAACTATAAAGTCACTCTTCATTTAAGAGCATAGGTTAATCATGAAATGGATGACTAGATAATACTATGATTAATTTCATCAGTTAGATTTTTGTGACGAACCAACACAAGATAGCGAAGTCATTTGGAACCACCACCAGGGAGCACTGAACATTTACTTCGTCCTATTTTGGGACTATGTAGAAATGTGCACTCACGACCTTCCACACCCAGGGATCGAATTCAGGACCTTCAGGTTATAAGACCATTCTCAAACGAGACCAATCAGTCACTTGGGCCGGTATTCAACTTTGCCAATTCATGCTGTAGCACTACTCTAGCCAATACTATCACAATGAACATCCCCCTTATCTTGACATGGTAAACCCCACTGGTCCCGACTTCCCACTGCAGTTTCAGGAAATCCACTCAGTAATCATCACCAGTAAACTAGTAATTGATATTCTATGATTACTAAATTGAAATGACTTGTTTTGCTAATAGCTGGAGGAAGTGAAGTTCAGCACACCAGCTAAGTCTCCTACATGGGACCCGTTAGCTAGATTTTTGAAATGATGAGTGTTGTGGGGTTCGAGGATTAGTGATTAAACTGTCATCAAACTCACAGAGGAGCAGGTATGTGTACCTAGTTGACAACGATGCCGTAACTGGACGAAATGTGCGCCCTAAATTCCACAGTTAGACGCACACATTTATAATTCAGTACGCATCGGTAGTTCAGTGATAGGATACTCACCAACCAAACCATACGTGATAGGGGTTTCGATCCACGGCTGACGTACTCTTCCTTGACCTATCAACCTAACATAAGTCTCGGATATTTAATTGTAGATTAACACACACACACAGGCCAGACTAACATGAAAACTGATTACGTGTGTGCGTGTGTGTGTCAGTGGTTCGACAATAGAATGCTCACCCCTACCACGGACACGGGAAGTTCAGGTACGATTCCTGGTCGACGAACTCTTAAACCTCACCCAGCCAATAGCAAACTCGAAAAAAAAAATAGGAGAAGAAACATTGGCGGTGAGGCTAGCAGCAACTCCAACCTCGTGAAAACACAACATCACCAACAGCTAATGGAACATCAAAAAGCTTGAAGGCCTTCTCCTATTATATTCCACTCCAAATACAAGGAATGAAGATATAGACATGATAAGAAGAGTATAAATACAGAAATGAACTTGTTTGTTACCAAGCAATGACTTACTTTACATTTCTTTTCTAAATAATCCAGAGCATTACGAACATTACTAAGTTTATGAGCTCTTTGTAGGACACGAGGAGTTTCAATTTGCTGAAAATTAAAAAAAAGATATATGAAATCAAAAGAGTATACAAAAAAAATAATCTTAAAATTTTAAAAACAAAAAAAAATGAAAAATTCCAAATTCGAATAACAATACTCATCTATTCATATGAACTGTGATCAAGATTTGACCGAATAAGCTTCAAAATAATTGGGCACCGAGTGAGCAGTAGACATTTGTAAGAAATAATATTTTTAAAATCTCAGCGAAATTGAAATGATTAATTCCAACGTTTCGTTCGGCAATCTGGTTCCAACTTCTTCAGGGAAACTAATCGAAATTAACAAAACAGAGGTTTATATTCATCTATTTAATTTTTATTCAGCACACCCATTTACCACCAGAGTAACTGTGGTCAAGAATCTGATTAACAAAGCCAAACACGTCCAGTCACTGAGGAGGAAGAGATTAGCAAGGAACTAAAATTGGTTCAATCCACTCTCTTGAAACAAATAGTGATCCTAAAGCCTTCATAAAAAGATATTTAAAATGTGGAGATAAGAATGGATCAAAACCTGCTGCTAAGAATTGGGTAAGTGCAGCGGTGATTCCTTACTGCAAAGAAACATTCGATGAGATAAAGCGAATCCTTAACGATCATAACATTGGAGTGTATTTTCGTGCATCAAACACCTTACGCTCATCACTGGTGAAGGTTAAGAATGAAATAGAAGAAGACAACCAACAGAATTGTGTATACCAGATCAATTGTGGGGACTGTGACGCCGTATATGTAGGCGAAACTTCTAGACAGGTAAATATAAGAGTGAAAGAGCATAAACAATGTCTAAAGGTGGTTCCAAAGATCTCTGCAGACTTAAAGAAGCTAGAAAACAAATCAGCGATTGCACTGCATTCGATAGATACGGGACACAAAATCGACTTTGATAAGACTAAGGTTGTACAGAAAGGTTTTGGTTCATATAAAGAAAGACTGACTGCAGAAGCTTTGCATATATGGGTGAATCCCAACAGTTTGAAAGGACGTGAAGGTGTGATGTTGGCTGATGCATGACAAATCCTGATTGATAAATAAAAAATGAATATATATCACTAATCAATCATACTTGATCAAAATTTCCGACTGTCTATATCTTCTTATGGAGAGGCTAACAAATGTTTTATGACTGATTACCCACACACACATACACACACACCATTGTATAATGCCTATACACATATATATTTTAACAAAAGTAGACTAATTTTGAAAGTCTGAGGTCAAATTTTGATCACAGTTCATACAATTTTGTTTGCAATATATAAACTTTGATAAAGCTATTAGCGTTAAATAGCGAAACGTCAGTAAAAAAACAATATCGTTTTGTTTTTCACTCATTGGGAAATACAAAAACCTTCATTATGTTGATACCTGTTTCATGATTCATATGATCGGACAAAGTTTTGAAAAAACCAACAGTTGTTCCTTTTATGTATAAACCTCTGTTATGTTAATTTCGATTAATTTCCCTGAAGAAGTTCGGACCAGATTGCCGAACGAAACGTTGGAATTAATCATTTCAATTTTGCTGAGATTTTACTAATATATATATACAACTAGAATTGTTCTGTATGTTTAAGTAATCATATACTTGTAAATATTATCGTTATTTGTAATGTTATTTTTATCCTTATTGTTATTATTTTACTGTGTTATAGCTGCCTATTTTAAACTTATTTTCATAATTTATAATACAATCTAATAATCTACAATCTAGGTACTATGAGATGATAGCAGTGAGTAGTCGATGGTTCGATGGTAGAATGCTCACCCACGACAAGGAAGACGTACTCCAAGACCTCGTCTAGTCAGTCTACCAGACAACAGTAAGTCTGGAAAAGAGGGACTACCAACCTCACATTATCGCTATCGAAACTTCAAAGCTCAAGTTTGAAACCTTATTTTCCACCCAGAAATGAGAATATAGTTATTTTGTTGTATCTGTACCTCTACCAGGATACATATTTTACTTACACAGACACAATGATTAACTGCCTAGATTATATAAACGCTTGCATAACGTTTTAATTTACTTGAACTTTAGTCAGTTATTCTATATGGTCTAGAGACTTGACAACACAGTAACCAAAAGTAATTTCAACAGACTGCTGCGGACTTTCATCAATAGCTGTCCCCTTCTCTGGCTCCATACTGAAGATCAGATGGCCAGTCAGAAAGAATAAGCAACAGGGAACTCTGGGAACGAACCAATCAACAGTCTGTTGCTCAACGAATATGCCACAGAAACTGTAAGCGGATCGGATACACACTATGAGGAGATCATCGAATGAAATCACATATCAGACGGTTTATTGCTCGAGTAGGACTCTGATGGGGAAGGACCAGTAAGACATGGGTCCCAGGGTGACATGACGGAGATCATGCGAGGAGAAGATGAGAGCATATGGGTAATTGATGAGCCAGCTAAAGAGAACACCAGGGAACAGGATGAAACGAAGACATGTTGCTAAAGCCCTATGTTCCACAGTTGAAAATTAAGGGAATCATAATACTTGAAATTTCATTCCATCGACTGCATTCGCATCTAATATCTAAGCCTAATAGCTTCAATATATAATTAGAAAGCCTGATGAGAAATTACGGAAGACACATATTTGCTTACAATTGTCTTCCAACCCCTGCCGCTCCATCTCTAATTACCGTAATTTTTTTTTATTCCTTCACGTTCCCAGTGGAACTTAGGGCTTCCAGCTAGAGGCTTGAAGTTTCTGTAGTAATGGTGATAATTTTTACAGCATTGGGTTGCTAGCCTCATGCCCAACCTTTCCTCCGTAACAGCTGTTTTTATTACTGGCTTGGCGAGGTGAAGGAGTGCGTCGGCCAGCTATCGAACCCCGGACCATGTGCATGGTCGGAGAGCGTAGTAATCACTGTGCCACCAACGTACCGTAATAATACTATGTAAACCACATATGTGCATTTTTAATTCATAATATAGGATAATTTTATAGATGGTGATGCACGTTTCGTCCTATTTGGAACTCGTCATCCGGATGTATCTGTATTCCTCAGTGAGTAATGGCGTTTCTTCCACTGAGACTCGAACCCACTACCCATTGTTTCAAATGTGAAAGCGTTATCCACTGGACCACTCTAACCACAATAACCATCACTTCGTGCAACAGACATCAGTTATTATTTTGTTAAAATCAATTTTTGATTGATTGAACCAAAATGTGCAGCATGTCGACTCCTAGGAATAAGGATGCTTCAATAATGTCTGGGGATTAACTTGAAGTATGCAGAGTTGAGTTATTTTAATTTCAGCGATCCAGTGGTTGAATACTCGCCAGTCACGCGCGCTCACACACGCTTCAGGTTCGATTCCCAGTCGATGCACATCACACAACATCGCATAGCTGACTGGCCGATAGTATTTTTCGTTTTTATTCGTTAACGTTCCCAGTGGAACATAGGGCAACTTCAGGCTAGAGATTTTTGAAGTTTCGGTAGCAGTGGTGTTTATTTTCTTACGGGATGAGGTTGCTAGCCTCCTGTCTAACCTTACCTCTTTACCGGTCTTATTACTGGCTTAGCGAGGTAAAGGAGTGCGTCTGTGGCTGGGGATCGAACCCCGGACCACATAAGGTGTGACTGGCGAGCATCCTACCTCTGTGCCACCAACGCACAGCCGATAGTAAGCCCGGGGTGAAAACAAACAAAACAGAGGGTTTGGGTGTGAACCTGGCAACTTCTCACCCTGTAAAACACGAAACAACACTATCACTAACAGCTACTCAACTCGAAATTGAAAGCTTGAAACCACCCCCTCCCACCAGACTTATGTTCCACTCGGAACCATTTCTCTATACCTATTCTTATTAAAGCACTGAAGGCCACTGCTGCTGCTACGCACAGATAAACACTTTTGAAGAAATACTCTCTCTCTCTCTCTCTCTCTCTACATATGAATGAGTGAGTACAGTATACACCCTTTGACATGACAACAATTTGAAAGAGATTATGATAATTTTATGGGTAGATAGATGCAGAATAGAAGAGAATAGATAATGTAAACAAGAACAGGGACAGCAGCGACAACAACGTCTGTCTCTAGGTCGACACACGCACAAATGGGATCTATGAGTCATTTAGCGGAAGAAGTATACAACAGGGCGTTACCTTACTTACTTACATAGGTGAGATGATAGTTACAATAATCAGCTTCTAGTCACTCACTCAATCAATCAATCAATAAAATAAATGTAATTGAACCGAAAAGCGAGAAGAGATTAAATAATAACAGAAGGGTGGATTTGAAGAGGAAGGCCATACAGCAAGTCTATGTACTCAAACTCACTCATACACATAATGATGTTATGGTATTGAATACATATAGTGTTTGAATGTAAGTCAGGCATGATACAACAATTATTACCAGTCTGATTTAATTATGATTACCATTAGTAGTAATAACGATGTCAGAAAGATATCCAATTAAATTAAATAAATCAATATTAGACAACAACAGCAGAGAGTAACAACAGTAGGAGTAATTAAAAAGGCATTACAAATATATATGTGGAGAGATACAAGCAGGAACGACAGATAGATAAGTAGATAGGCCGGTCATATGACTTTTGTCTTATTATAAGGCTATATATACATATGTATATATATAAAACGGAAATCGATTACAACTCTTAAGTAGGGTAGTCAGGGTGATAGGTGGATATATAACGGTGAATATGAAGGGGCGGGGTGGGAGGGGCAAGTAGTAGACGTGAAAATTGGGGGAAAAACCAGTAACAATTAATCTGTCAGATTATTTCAGTCAAATTGATACAAAATTTCTTTGTTTGCTTGTCTTTGCATATATATATAATTAATATTTAACAGTAATGGATTTTTAGATAATGTATTTCTGATTTCGTCATGAACCGCAAAATCTCGTTAGACACATCATTGAAAAGCACAAAGGAATACTGGGCAACTTTTTCACGCTACTCTTTTTGGGGGGGCGGG